GAACCAAGTCCTCTCTTTTCCATCTTGTTTTCTGGGGTCTGCTAACAGTACTGTTCCTCATGTTCTGGTAATATCTATCGTTTGTTGAGTAAATTCCTATCTCCCAAAAGCTGAGGCTATGGCTTTTACCCACATCACTGATGCCACTGTGATTAGGCTGAAGTGTCACAAAAAATTGTCCAACCATTTTGAGCCATTTCTCTTCTTAGGAGCACCTTTTTTTCTGGGAATATAAGGAATGAAAGGAATAAGCTTCTCTGTTTTTGTCTGCTGCTGATCTGGACATGAGGTGTGTCAAGCAACTGTTCCACATCCTTAGTCCTTCTCTGCCCATCTATTTTAGTGGAGCCTCCACCTTGGAGAAAGCCTGGTGCCACAAGTACAGTTCCCATGTCCTACTGGGGCTGGGCACAGGGGATGATCCTTACACATGACAACTGCTCAGGGGCTGGGGTGAGCCCTGCTCTCTCCCCAAACCAGCATTTTGTATATTTTTGTCTGACTAGCAGAGTCAGCACTTTAGCAATGTCTACATAAGAGCTATATTGGTCTGATCCCTTGAGGCTGGGTCCACAAGATGAATCCACCTACTTAAATCTGACACAAGTTGACAGTGACAGGTCTTTGTGACAAAAAGCACTGAGTGACTCTCCTCATGTTGTTTGACATATGAGAATCTCTTTAATATGTTGCTGTTGCAAAGACAGATATCATACCTGTGTCCATGATGATGCAGCCACAGTCCTGCTTTCCTTTCCAGGTAAATGGGGGATAAGTCCTCTGCTCAGACTGGGTGAGATTCTGAATCCCTTGGATATTCTTTTCTGGCTTGTAACTGATCTGTATAGAACTGCAGGGAGAAATTAATGCAGGAGACCTCCCTCCTCCTTCCTGTGAATGTTCCAGAATGACAGTGAAATGCTATCTTTAGGCTTTCTGCAAGCCCTGTTACCTAAGGTAAAAAAAAACAAACAAACAAACAAACAAACAAAAAAAACCCACTCACCATTCATTTTCCAAAATGACTGAAAATTCTTAAGCCTACCCAAATCAAAGCTGGTTGTGAGTACAGAGCTGAATGGTGGGCAGGGCTATCCAGCCAGACCTCATTCCTAGTGTGCTTGCTGACAGGTTGTAGTCCTTGAATGCTCTGAACTGCAGGTCTCCAGGATACTTTGCTTTCAGCACAGCAGTAGAGCAGGACCTGGAGACTGTTTTAGAACCATCATCATGCCTCATTATGCTTGCACTCCGGTGTGAAAGGCAATATATGTGATGTCAGGGAGTATCTATGTTTTGTGCTGCCAGAAAAGCCAGTGGAAGTGGGAATCCAGAGCCCTTGAGAACTGGTCAACACACACAAACTGACATCCCTACGTCTGTTCCATGCCAAAGCTTCTTCTGGCTGTTGCAGGTCAGACGCCAGTGCAATCAGACCTAAAATGGAATTGAATATTTAAATAATGACAGCCTCAATGTAACATGGTTCTGAAGTATTTTCGTAACTTTAGTACATCAATTAAAATCATGGAACTTTAAGCTTAGTTATCTATATACACAGCAAGAGATTTTAAGTGTTATTTTAGCTGAAAAACTGAACACTATAAATATGCAAAAGAGATGGAAAATTGTTGGTAATGGGTCAAGTTGCATCTCCTGCTGATTTTAAAGTGTGTATGTGTGCGTATATAATTATAAATCACAAATAAAAATGTCTTGGCTCTAAGTGCTCATATCCTGTGTCAAACTGGATCCTGAATGCATCTCATGACATGGCTGAGGCATGAAAGCATTTCTGGAGATGTTATCTAAGTGACAGTTGTGCTTTCATTTTATTTGCTAACTACACTTAATGCACTACCTTTTCTGAGTAGCCATGTAGAGAAGTCTGCTAAGTTCATTCCTGTCCTTGCTGTAGAATTACATCTGGGCAGGTGCATTACCAGTTTCACAGCCAATGACTAATCCAAGGTATGTGTTTAGCACAACACAACCCACTGAAATACAACAGTTTCAGTTCTCAAACAGAGAACTGCAAAAAAGAGACCTTTTGTTTCAGAAACTCTGACCAGAAGTTAACTTTATTTATTCTGTAGAAGGTGCACTTGACATTATGGTGTCAATTCAGTGGTAACTGGACCCTCAACAACCTCATTTCTCTTTAGCTCAAGAGACGTCATTGCAACCCCAGTGCAATGAACTGCACTTTTCCAAAGGGATTGAGGATTGCGTGCTGGAGACTTTCTCCACCAGCAGTGCCCTGACAATGCCTGGACAGAACACCATATTAGGCAACAGGCTATGGGGAATGGCATGTGGGGACTCCAGGGAGCATGCCTCCTAAGGAAGGAGCACAACCATAAGCTGCTGGTTGAGAGCACAGAGTCCTGCCCTGGCTGACAAGGCTGCTGCAGAGGTCAGCCAGAGAGGGCTATCATTCTTTGGGGAGGTGGAAACAACTCAGAGCTATTAATGGTTTTTTTCCTGGCTGTCCTCAGGAATGGAACTGTAAGCCAGGCATGACCATGAAAGGGGTTGCACATGGCCAAAAGATTATGTTGAAGTATCTCCCGTGTCTCTGACACCCACAGTGCCTGTGTTTTCTTCCCACATTATGCTTCAGGTTGAGCTCCATTCTTGCCTCAGTTTTCTTAGCATCAATCTGAACATCCTTGAATTATGGTTTAGGAAACAAACCACTCATTTCTTGGTCTGGCTTCAGTCATCATCCCATCACAGAATTGCAGAATAGCTGAGGTTGGAAAGGACCTTTGGAGATAGTCTAGTCCAAGCTCTCTGCTAGGAACAGGGTCCAATAGAGTAGGTTGCCGTGAGAGTGCCCAGGTTTTGAATGTCTCCTTTTGTAGTCTGCATGCATGAGACAAGGTTTAGACTATAAAAATAATTTTTCAGGTCTGGTCTGTGCCATAGACTTTGGCTAATATCTGTGCTGGGTGATGCAGGACTTGTAAGATATGTGACTGCTGAGCAGCCTTACAGTGTTGGTGAAGCCACGGAATACCTCTCAAAATGAAAGAAAAATTCAAGGCAAATCCCTCAAAAGTCTCATAAGCCTTCATCTGAGAGTGGAAAATGCTATATTTGTTGAATTTTTAATTATAAGTTTGCAACTCTTACTGGTGAGCCAGGGAGGATTTTCTAATGCAGTGTTCATAATACTCCCTGTTCCTAGCTATTAAATTTCACAAGGAAAATTATACAATCAATAATTTCCCCTATTACTTTGGAAACATACTTCCATGCCACAACGATGTGTCAGCAGAAACAGTGAGAAATATCATGGTAGCAAAGCAAATAGGTTCCAAGACATACTCTTTGTGGTACAACTTTCATGTTTTCATATGAAATTTTTTCATATTTTTCTAGGCTAAAAAACAAAATTTAGTATGTCAGTAATTAGACCAGAAAAAAAATTGCTTTGAACCTACGTAAAGATATTTCATTATTTTCATACTCTGAAAATATACTTCCTTCCACTCTGTGTGGTGGGTGCTGTTATCAGAACATACAACACAAGCTCTTTCCTTGTAGCAAGGGATTCTCTTTGGAACCTCTACAAGGATTTGCTGTTGTGTCTGTGTATGTGACTGGAAGTTCCTAAACCATATCAAATTCACGCACTCACAGCTTAAAACTATATTTGCACTAAAAATATTCCTCCCTTTTAAATGGATGTATTAAGAATGAGAATTGTGCTTTAGCTATATCTAGAACTGTGTAAAGGAATAGCCTTCCCAGCATTTCTATGTGATGGAGATTGAAATTTTTTTCCTGAATCTGACCTGAGGTGAGGTCCCAAGGGTTAATGTCCATAACATGACAAAGGTTAGTAAGAGCCATCTACTCTTACAATTCAGGGTTTCAAACTTTTAAATCTTTGCTTTTTATAAATAGTTAAACTGTAAGTCAATGCTAGTGCCAAAAAAATATTGCTGTTTTCAACCTGTCTAGGCTCCTAAAGCTTTTAAAAGTTAAAAATAAGCTTCCTTTTCTGCTTTAAAAATATCTTTTAGCTAGTCAATTTGTTCTTATGTTTTTTAGATGGGAGAGCATGTAATACCAAAAGGATAATATTTAAATAGCATTAAAAACCTGGTTTCTGTATCACACATTGGAAAGGCAAGTGATTGACATTAAAAATCATAATTGAAAGAAAGAAAACCCAAACATACTGCAGGTCCTACTCAGAGCAACTAAACTGTGTCTTTTGGTTTTTTGTTTTATTTTTTACTTTCTGCTTGCACAGAACATTGAACTCTAGATCTTATGGTGTGGTTGAAAATGAGATGAAGGTCTCTGGATTCACTCTGCGTAATTCCCCTTAATTAATGGATCCATTACACTTCACAGTTAAAATCATATCTGATATTATTTCAGTTGGTGGAAATTTTACTTAATTTTGCACATGAGTGAGAGACCTTATCACTCTCTAAAACTACCTGAAAGGAAGCTGTAGACAGGTAGAGCTCAGCATCTTCTCCCAAATAACAAGTGATATCACAAGAGGAAATGGCCTCAAATTGCACCAGGGGAGGTTGTGATGGGATATTAGGAAAAATTTCATCACTGGAAGGGTTGTTGAGCACTGGAACAGGCTGCCTAGAGAACTGCACTCAGCATCCCTGCAGGAATTTTAAAGATGTGTAGATGTGGTTCTTGGGGATAGAATTGACAGTGCTGGGTTGGTGGTTGGACTCAATGATATTAAAGATCTTTTCCAATCTAAATGATTCTACATTTCTATGAATATTATTTATCTCCACACTAAACAATTTCTAACTTCTTTTTGCAGAGCAAGAACTTTAGAACCCTGACCTTGTCACTCTGAAATTGTCACGTTGTGTATGTGAAAGCAAAATAAATTTCACAACTGCATTTAAATATTAAAGAGCTCAAAGCCAACAAATGTATACTAAATGTATGAAAAATATTTGCATGTATTTGAAGCTCAATATCTGCCTTCTTTCCTCATTTTTCAGAAACTGAAAATGAAAGTGCACCGCCACCTCCAGGTTAGTGTAAAAAATGCTGATTTGAGCTGTGACACTAACAACTGTTGCATGAGACTGGATACTGCGTAGCCATAATATGGTTTGTGTTCATTTTCTCTTTGAAAATAAGAGGACAGCAAGAAAAGTTAAAAAACCTGCTCAAGTAAGATATCCTCACTTCATTTTGCCTGAATACTGATTTTTCACACTCAGTTTTTGTTTGCGAGTGACTAATTGTTTGCTTAATATTGCACATGTCCTTCAGAATACAGGTGAATCATGGCTGCTTAAATTATGTGGATAAATTTCGCTGTCCTCTTTGATGCTGGGCAGCATCTAATTACCAAAATACTCCCCTTCATTTCACCTCAAAAGTAGATTGTGAATAAAATTGAATCAAGCATGGGAATAATTTCACTTACTTGTAGCCCTTCGAAAATTATGTATCATGTCTAAGTAGTTCAAAAGCTCCATCTCTGACCAGTGGAGCATATCGTGGGTCGTACATGCTCATCAATGGGCATTTCCCAGTTATCCTATCTAAAATGTCACTAGATATCCATGTGCAGGCAATTTCCCTGAGGAGTCTGATTAATTGTCTAGAATGGAGTGGCTGAGTTGCAGGAAGACAAAGTTAGGTGAGGTGAAACTCACTCTTAAGGATGAGGGCTTCAGGTAAAGCTGCAACTTTGCAAAGAACAAGAGTTCTCTTTAGTGGGAGCTGGAAAGATGAACAAGCCTTTGCCTTGTGCCATTGAGTACCTTCAGCTATTTTCTCTGATAATGTAGATATATATAGATATCTACATCAATAGATGTAGATATCTATATATAGGTATATCTAGATAGATAGACAATGCTGATATATAATACATATAGCTACAATATGTATGTCTAATTTAACCTTTTGGTGAGTATTCTCTGTATAGCGATCTAAATAGCAATTCCAAACAGAACAAATACCCTACAAGTGTTAAATCTGCCTTTACTTACTGTCTTCATAACTGGCATTTTACAAGTCTGATTCAAGATGTCTTTGTTTCAACAATACACACTTTGATTAAAAAATGACAAAGGTATGTTTGCCACAAGGAGTTTCACGGTTAAATTATCCACATATTATTTTTATGTGATGAATTCTTTCATATTGCATATATTTGTAAGGAAAGTTAATTGGTTTTTAATTAATGATATTTTACTCAACCATAAAATTTTTACAGTTAATATTAAACTAATTAATTTCACCCTTAGGGTCTTACCTGATATACTTTGCACTTGAATTCATGTTTTTAATCCATCTTAACTTTCAAGTAGAATAGAAATGAGAAACAGCTTTTTATACACAGAAAAGAATAGCATCTTTGAAACATTACATTTAAAATATCTATTAACATTTTCAAAAAATTACCATCTTCCTTTCTATTTAAAGCACAGGATTAAATACAAAAACACTTCTCCTTTCTTTTCTCCTTACCTGTTTTTCTCCTGAAAAATAAGTAGGATGTCATTAGGTCATTATGTTAGGCACAGACCAAACAGGGATATTTCTAAGCTGGACATGTCAGCTTAAAAACACCCCAGTTTTGGCTTCCTTCTCACTTCTGGCTTCCTTCTGCCTGACTCAACATGCTGTTATCTTGGATTATCAAGTGCCAATACTAACAATTGGAGTTTGGGAATTTAGGGAATCCCGACAGAAGCATCCAAGAGACTGTCACACTACCAGAATGTGGAGTTTCCTTTTAAGTTTCAGCTTTAATTTTCATAGTTACTGTGGCTGCACACATGTGAACAAGAAATCAGGATAATCAGAGTATCAACTGCCTCTTGCAGATGTTTTCTCCATGGAAAAAAAACTATCTTAATTCCACCCTGACAATGTTAGTCTGTTGACAATCACCCAAAGCCATGTTCTGTCAGGCAGTTGACAGGTAAGTTTGCCACAGAAAGCCATTGCTCACAGGCAATAAGATATTGAGTGTTTATACCTTGAAGACAGCTCACTTCACATGATTTGACAAGATTCTAGATTGAATGAAGTAGGAAACCAAAAGGAAACCAAAAATTTGATAGAAATCCTATCAAATCCTGAAATAGAGAAAGTGAGGAAATTGTTTTGTTTAAAACACAGTCCAAGTTTTCTCATACAGATGAGGTCAAAAATAATTCACATTCACCTGCTTGGAGCAGAGGACAGACTGGCAGTTCTGATAAAGAAAACTAAATATAAGTAGTCTTGGCAAGATCATGTTGATAATGATGAAGATTATGATAAAGAATTAAAGAATATCCTCAATACACTCTCTCGGTACTATTTCTTAGGGTTCAACTGAGTGGCAGTAACTCCTGTCTGATCCAATTTCTTTCCAATTAACATTGATATGTAACTCATTTCAAAAGCTTTTGCAAATTAACCCAAGAACAAGAGACTAACAACTGCTGCTTCTAAAAAAAAAGCAGCTTTTTTTTTTCCACTGAGTCCAGGAACATCAATCTTACATGACTTGTTCAAAATACAGAAATTGCACTGATATTCACAGGTTGTAAAATGTTTTATGGGATTGAAACTGTATATTACATATACACATATATCAATCATTCTTAGTTGTAACTCAATTAGTTGTTTTTCCAATACTAGCAAAACCTGCATTTTTTTAATGCTGTGTAAGTCTTTCTTTTTACTTTAAGATCCTCTCAAAACTATACTTGTACTTCCTACACAGAACAAAAAACACCACAGGAGGGTGGAAATGAAAAGGGCAAAGGTAAGTCTGAAACCATACTTTAAAAATGGGCAGTAAAGCAAACTAAATGCTGTTCTGATGCTGGATTGTTTGAGCTTTAATTCAGAATTTTGGTGCTAAATTTCAGAAGTGTGATATGAGGCTTCTTAGATCCTTTTTCTGCATGACTTAGCCAGCCCAAGGAAATTATGATACTCATGAATATCTTCAAAAATAATGCAAACCAGACCGATACTTTAGTAACAGTATTTATATTGACAGTTCAATTAATGGATCGAATTACAAGTGATTTTGCATGAAAAGAAAGTTGTGTTTAAATGAGCCTGGCTGTTGCCCCTGAACAAGCTTGCTAAAACTCAGATACTGTGCACATTTGTTGCTGTTAAATAAAGTGGACAATGTCCTACTGTCATTCTAAGCTGTTTCTGTTCTACCACAGAAACTTGATATTTTACCTTTCAGAAAGCCCCATAGATTTTTTTCATCTGAAGTTAACAATCTCACATTCATCTTTCAGTCCTCATTGGGAGCTCAGATGAGCACTTTACAGGTTCTGAAAAATGTGTTTGAGGATTGTCTTCTGTGAACAAATAGATAACTGCTCCTCCAGCAATGTGTGCAAAAATCAGCTCCAGTTTTAATACGTATTTTTGTGCTGCTGAGATTACATTCTAGCTCTGTTGTAAATTCTTCTGGTTAGGAGAATACATTTTGAGGGAACTGGGCCAAATTCTCCTGCTTTTTGTAGGAGCCCTGCCAAAATAGAAAACAAACACCCCATCAGGTTATTTTGAAAATAATAATCTCTTTTTTTAACCTTAATTCTGATCAAGGCTAAAGAAGCCCAAATATGCTTACAACTGATGCAATGCTTGCTTTTCATCTGGCATGGTTATGCTTTTTCATGGCAAATCAAGAAATGGCTTGCTTGAAAATGTATTCTGGCTTTTGGTGGCTTCCAAACAAAATCCTCTTTTAGACAGACTGGGTGTATACTTGATACTTGCAGATTTATTTGGCAAAGGCATGCATGGCTATTTTTCTCAGAAGAGTCAAAATATAAACACTAAGAATGTGTGATTCAAGTACCCTTTTGAAAATAAGAATGCTGAACCAGGCTTCAGTGCATGCTACTTTGCCAGTTATCCTTGCATTGAGCAATTATTTTGACACACAAAATTTTGTGTGAGTAATCAAATCTGTCAACTTGGTAATGGAAATGCAATTCAGAAATAATTTGCATGCCTAATGATAGGAAAAGATATGAAAGTCTTGCCTCAAGCTATTCCAACAGTTAGTTCTGCTTGCTTTAATTTGGATATGAGAAAAATGTTTGTTCCCAAACTGAACATGAATGGTGATTTCCTCACTGCTTACAAGCCTACATTTCACTGAATAAAAATAAAAACATGGTAGGTAACTTATCCAAAACTCCTATTATCTTCTTATACATTATTATGTTTCTGTTTTGAATTTAGTGAAGGAGACAAGTGTTTTCTAGGAGGAAAAATGTTCCTACTAAGAGAAACCTTTCAGTGCCAGGAGGATTTTACTACCAAAAAATACTGTTTGAGATCCTCCTATGGAGAATTTTCCCAGTTTCAGCTCATTGTGGCAGCTGTTGCCTCTGTAAAAATTCCAGTGAAAGTCTGAATATTAATAGATAGATGACCTGCCATGCTCCAGTGAAACTATCACCTCTGCAAAGCAAAGTAGATGTCATTGCCAGACACTCTGCAGTGATACCTCTAAAAATTAGTTAAGTGCAGTTGTTTCTATCAGCTATTGTTTTATTGCAGAATATCACCAAATAAGGGAAAACATATTTTCATAGACTTGATCCTTCATGTTTTTGTGCCAGGAAAGAAAAAATGGTGAGCATAATTCACAAAAAGGGAACAGGTTCCATATTTCCAACCTGTCTAAAATCATTTGCACTTGAAAATGAACAGTTCGGCAAGGAAATTATGACAGAACCAGCCAGATGTTAGCTTTTATATAAGTTATATGTAAAAGACTTTCTGCAGCTTCAGAAGTAGCAGATTTGGGTACTTCTTGAATGGAAACGAAATAGGATACATTTACTATCTGAATTCCACAGCAATTATGCCATACTCGTGTGCCAGCAGTTGTGACCTGTTTGCTGATAATTTCTGAGATAGACTTCATCATTTTCACCTCATCCTTAGAAAATATCAGCAACAGACATTAGGAAGATAGAGTATACCTATCTGTGTGTCTGTTTTACTGTTCTATTTCTTTTTAGTACTTACTGTCTGTGTGAAATTACATATTTATATTCCTTTGTGTTCACTGTAAAGTTATGAAATGAAAAACAGTGTGGTAAATTCTTTGTATCTCATGGTTATTTTTCCGTAAATTAGTAGCTTAGAGCAGTAAAAATAAAATTTTCTTTCATAAAATAAGCCAGTTTTAAAAGATCTATAATAATGTAAAAATTCAGGATATATGTGATCGTCCATTTTATTTTCAGAGAAAAAAAGTGAATCAGCACAAATCCTCCAAATTTACTACATTGTCTTATATTCATTCAATTTAAATTCTTGTGTCTCCTTTTTAATTTTAGTATTATCTTACAGATTGAATATGTTATAATTTTGTTCCCACTTGCTGGAATAATAGTAAAATTTTAATATCAATTTGCTCATTCCTTTTTTTAGGTCCCATCCAGCCATTCAGAGGGCTATTTGTATATTTTACTGATACCTTTCCTCTAGGTTCTTCCAACCATCTACTAAAATGTTCACTGCATGTGTCATCCTTGTATTTCCCAGGTTTCACTTATCCATTCATCTCCCTACTAAAACATCACCTCTGTGGGTATGTACTTCATTTACCATTTCCAAAGTACCAAGTCCCCTTGATGGGACTGCTGGACTCCCTTTGAAAATCAGATTGGTAATTGAAGTCAGCTAAATTGGAAACTTTCAGTCTTGCTGTGCTCTACAATTTCAGCAAAAAACAGTATGATAGAAAAATAAAATAATATACAATTAATAGGTTTTAATAAAATAATATACAATTAATAGGTTTTTGACACTCCTGCCCAATGTTAAGTTTGTCAACCGTGCAGCTGATGGCAGAATGGCAGCTTCCATTTTGTGTGGGATGTTTCAGATGGGGGAAAGGAGGTCTAAAATTCTTGATACCAGCAGCTTATATATAAATCGGTAATTACTTTATTTTTGACATATATTTCTACATTTGCTGTGCCAGCAGTCAGAAATTTTAATGTTAAGGTTACACTAAGTGTGTTTAGATTAGCTTCTTTGGAGATATGGAGAGTTCTTTCATCCAATAAGAATCTATTCCTGATATAGCTCAGTCTGCTCCATAGTTAATGTTATAATTTAGAAACAAGGAAAAGAAACATAAATAACACCTACATGTTAATAAGAGTGTGCCACAGACAAAGAATAAAGTTTTCTATGGAGTAATGCATCTTATAAGCCTATTGTCAAATTAATCAATTGATTTCCTCATACCAAACTCTTGTCATGCAACAGATTGAAAAATATATTTCATTAAAAGTTTACTTGCAAAAGATAAGGGTAGTGAATTAATGATCATAATTTTACTGAGAATATTTTGCTATTTTTGTAATCTTCAAATAGACTTTATTTTAGTATGAACAATCATTCATACAGAAACTGAATTGGGTATATCTGCTGAACAATTCTGTCCTAGAAGCCTGAGATAGAAGGAGTGATGGATTGATAATTACCCATTTATCAAAACAATCCCTCCAGCATGTACTCTTTTCATACTCTTTCCATTTCTAAAATATTCAACTGGGCTTTCATCCTTATACTTCTGACATGTTTGTTTGTTTCCTTTGTCTTTGATGTTAACATTTTGTTTGTAAAATTAGAGATTACCCTGGGGAAACCCCAGCAATCCTCCTGCAAAACGAATAACTTCTTTTTGGGTTTTTAGCTTTTCAAATGATTAAATGAAAGAGAAATCTGAGTGGTCCTTTCGTAATTCGATTATCATACATCATCATGTACGATTCATCACATCAGATGTTTTATGCTGGTCTTAATTATTTTTTTCAGTCAAATGGATCTTTGAGCCATCATCAATCACAATGGTGACATCATTGACAAAAAGAGCTGAAAGTACACTTAATGCTTTCATGAAATATGGAGAAATATTTGCAGTGGAAGCACATAGCCTTGCATCCATTTAGTTGCTAATGCAGTATGTTAAAACAGCTGACAGGACTTAATCATTACTGTGCTTTTACTGAAAATCAGCATTCTCAACAGCTGCTTATGGCATTGGATGATGCAGGTCTCATGAGAACCCTTCCATTACTCTTTTTTTTTTCTATCAATAAGAAAAGATATCTGCAAGATAACACATTAATCCTTCTTGTGTAGGCAGACCTTTTACAACTCATTCCCCTCCCAAGGGATCTTTAAAACAAAGTTTGATGAATCATTAAAAAGGAATGAGTAAAATGTTATGCTGAAGTAGACAAATTCTATTAACAGACTTTTAATTAGCATTCAGTGTTTAAGCAAACCCAAATATTCAATTTGCCAGTGTTTATGAAAATGCAACGTTATTTCATATGTGCTTTTGTCAGAGTTATGACATTTATCCTTGAAAAAATATAGATAAATTATAACTTTAAGGTCAAAATCGGTCAAAATCAAAGGATAAGTTCAGATTTAAAATTTCATTATGGAAACACAAATACAAGAGATAAAAAAATCCAACTCCCAAAACTACTATCTTTAAAGATGTGGGTTAATATTTTTCCAATGTTGTTTTTGTTTAACTTTGTTCTCCATTTTGAAGTGTTTTACGAGTTATTTTCTGATCCTGTATAAAAACATGTTATCCTCATATAACCTATATATAAAATCCTAAATATATCTAGTTTATTTTTATCTTTCAAATGATATCTTGGTTATTTTCTTACTTTTTTACCATTAGGCTTTTAAGACATTAAGACCTTTTTGCTTATTTTTATCAAAGCTGATCTTTGATGTTTCTAGTCAACATTTAAAATTCAAAGAGACTCTTGTAAAGATGGTCTTTACCTTATTCTTAATCATGATTACTGTAGTTCTATTTAATGCCAGTTTCATGTTTTTCTCAGGCTTTTGATTTTTGTGAATATAAGCCTCAATATATTCTATATGATTCAACATTTTTAAATAACTGAGTAATAATTGTTTGTAGCAATTTAATACCTCATGGAAGTCAACTTTTAGTGTGATCAAAAGGAAAATCCAGCATGGTGATAATAGTTCTTTCCTTATTTAAAATTACTCTCCTGTTAGTATGAGGGAAAACTGAGTTGTGTATTCATTGCATTTTAAATTAATATTATAGTATAGAAATTACAAAGTAGAAATAGAAGGGACTAGTTTTAACTTTTTCATATCTTGATTTAATAATGCTGAATGCATATGTGGTGCACATTTTAATTGCAGACGTGGTCATCAGAGAAATGACATCTTCCTCAGGTTAGATATGTGATTCTCCTTCATTTCATTGTGGCTTTCTTATTGTAATTACTGTGGATTACATCTCTAACAAACAGAATCACTCTGCAGCTCTCATATAAACTCATGATTTAATCATAGATCACAGTCCACATCTCATTTTGTTTTTTACTTGCTTGAAACATCAAGGTTTACCATTTCAGCTACTGAATTATGCAAAGCTTTCCTCATCAGTTTGAATCTTCCATTGTGAATGCTCCTGAATATTGCAATTTATTTTCCTTTCTTTTGCAGGTTTTACATTTTCATGTAGTTGTTTTATAGCAGATGATTGCCTGTGCTTTCAGTTTCTTCATGTGCTTTTTCATTTGTATTTCTTTTCACAGATGAAGATGACACCTCAGTTAGTACTCCACCAGCAGGTTAGGACTGTGATAATGCTTTGAGTGTGTATGTATGTATGTATTTTTCTCTTGAATATTAATGAAGAAAGAGTCTAAACCAGCAGAATGAACTCAAAAGATATGACTTAGAAAAATTGTTAAAGTGCCCTATATTTTATTAATCTCTGTTCAGAGGTACAAGACCCTTATATCAGCTAAGTCCCTTCCCAGTCCTGTCTTGAGCTCTTCAGTACTTATAAATAAGTATATTGTTTGAATATGTCCCTCAGACAAATACTGAGGAATGAAAATTCCCCTGTTGCCTGGAACTACACAAGTCATAGAAAAAACATCAGCCTCATGTAACCTTTCTAAAGAAACTCTTCAACAGAATTAAACTAATTTAGGTTTTTCTAGAGAAAAGTGGGGAAGATTTCTGGGGGTTTTTCTTAGCTGCTCACTTTTATCTGTTATTCAAGTACTTCCTCAAGGATATGGTCCCATATAATCCTCCTGTATGAAGAATCAATGTTTTTAAAATCCCAGTGATCTGAGATCAGTTAAGATGTGATCTCTGAGCTGGTGTCATCTAAATTGCTCTTCCCTTTCAGATGGGATGTCTAAACCAGCGGAAAGAAAAGATTCAGGTGAGACCTCCTGAGAAACACGACAAAACACTCCCAAAATTACATAATAAAAATACTGTTTAGACTTTATCTTTCAAAAATAATACTTTATTTTCGTTGTTTAGACAGCAACAAACTATAGCTGTTGAATTATCAAAGTACCAGGGCAAATAGGTTTCTAGCAGCTAAACTAGGAGAGAGAGATGGCTGTGCTGCGCAGAACAGGACATGTATTTGACACATACATACATACCTATCTATCTATATCTGTTTCTGTATAGATAGATACATAGCTGTTCCATTCCTCCTCAGCCTACAGGAATTCCATTCCTACATTCAGTCTCACCCCAATCCCACACACAGGTCCCAGAAGACTGTAGGAGAATGGCTTCTTCTCACACCTCAAAGGACGGTGGGGAAAACTTAGCAAAATCATCATAACCTCTTTCTTCCTACCCTGGCAGGTAACGCACACTGCACCCACTCTCGTGGTTTCAGGATTTGCAGCCTCTGGAACAAAATGAGCAGCTGGTACTTCAACCATGGTTATGGACCTGGCATAGCCGCCTATGCCAGCCCGTGTCAAACGCACCTCCCGTTCTCTTTGTTTAATAAATAGGAAAGTGTTAATATCTAGAGGTGGTCTTCCTTTATGTGGTACCAAATTAACGACTCTGTGTAAGCTTTTTTCCATTTATTAATATCCTTTTTCCATTTCACCCCATGGCATGTTAGGTTTGTTGCTGCACGTGGCCAGATCCTGTGCTATCATCACTTCATTCTCTTCCCACCAATAACCTTCACTTATTCTCATGTTGTTTCCATATAATGCCATGTTAGAGGTATAATCTAAACATTTAGATTATGGAGAGTATATATAGATATGTATCTATATATATTTGCATTCATTTGTGTCTGTCTAAATCATTTCATGTATGTGTGTATATATGTGTACATATGTGTGTGTATATATGTGAATGTCTTTACCTGTGAGAAATATTGTACAAGCAAGCATATACAGAGGTGCTAAGCACACCACCCACAATTGACTGAAACTCTAGGACTTTGTAGCAAAGCTATTTAGCATTTTGATACCTTTTAAAAATTCATAATAGGCTTTAGGATAACAAAACAAATTTGTTTGAATTTTCCCATGGTTGCCATGAGCTGTGTCACATTTGTGGGTGGTAGAAATTTTCATGAGTTGAAAAGGTTCCCACAGCAGTAATCACTACATATCAGAAAGACTATTCTGACCTCTAACTTTAATTAGTTTCCCGTCTGTACTGGCAATAACTCCTCAAAAAACGGAGATGTGGCATTTGAACTTCAGATTGGAATATGAGATATGAGCTTTGCCTCTCTGCAGAAAGTGAGCAGAAAACAGAGAGGCATTCAATACCTTTCTCTCCTTGTACTTTCTGCTAGGAATCAGTTTTGACCATGGTTTTACACAAGATGTAATGGCATAGCACAAAGCCAGGGCTGTCCAGATAAACAGAGAGACCAGAAACACACAGCTGTCCTGGTACAGCGCTCTGCTCTGGGAGGAACACTCATTTGCTGCTTCTCTCAGTACTCTTGTTCCTTTTCACTTCCAAAGTCCCAGTTTCCAGAAGAGAAGCTGCTGTGTCTGAACATATTTCACAATCATTTCCATCTGACAAACTACTTTTAGCTCATAAAATTCCCATGGCAGGACTTGGTATTGAAAGATCCCCAAATTCTCTACTTTTGTCATGGCAGAAAAGAAGAAAGTCCACAAGTGAGCTTCATTCCTGCCCTAGTTTGCAGACATAAAGGATGAACCGGCTTGTACAATGGACTTGGTTTGGGTTGAGATCCACTGAAACTGTGCATCAGATGTAGGGACTTTTGTGCTTCTAGCTGTTTGTGTTTTCAGAGCCTCCATCTCTTCTGAAAAACAAAGAGCTGATTTTGTGCATCGCCTCTGTAAAGCACTCATGGTTGAATGCTAGTGCCCTTCAAGTTGCTCAGTGCCTATCCTGGCTGATCAGGTTCCCCTCTCTTCCTCCCTAGTTTCATTTTTTGTCACCACAGAGGTAGTGTTCTTGCAGGAACTGCACACAGTGTGACAGCCAAGCAATGGATGTCAGTGTGAACAAAAGCTCACATGTCTTTCAGGACATCTGAAGAGAAAGGTTCTAGGGCTAGAGAGTTTAGGAAGCTCAGGTAAGTGTACTTTGGAGGGAGAAAAACACCCTCAGATGATTGATATTTCCCCCTCTCTCTGCATCTCAGTATGGTCTCTTGGAGAAGGAGCTCCAGAAGAGTCAGAAAAACGTGATGACTCCCAAAGATCCACTTTATTCGTCGAGAAACCTCAGAGCGGGACAGTGAGTGTTGGTAAGTGCCTAGGAACAAAACCAAGAGCCACTCCCAGAGACAGAGGCTGAGCTGGGAATGGAGTGTGCAGATGCTGTGGCACTCAGGTTCTGCCCTCAGCTGCAAGTACTGGCTCTGGTTTTAGCTGGATGCGAACTCCACTCTGAAGGCAAAAGCACTGTACTCAGAGAAGCAAACATCAATTGTTTAATTCAAGACAAGCTCAAAATCTAATAATTTACTGAGCATAATTTTAAGATTTACAGTTTCTGGGGGAGAAAGCTGGTTATTTTGATACTGTTGGCTGTACTGTTATGGATATATCAAGAAGATCAGGCAGATCAAGCTCAAGATATCAAGCAGAAAGCTTCCAGACCCAAAATCACTAACCTCTGTACCACTGCAGTACTTTCACAGTCTGTGTGACTCCATCTGACTCTTAATTTTGTGGTAGAACACATGGCAGCTGAATGGAGCAGAAGTAAAAGGAACTTGTAGAGATGCAACTGATCAACCACATGCTCCTCAACAGCTGCATTATTCTTTTCTCTTTCTGAAAGGTGGGAATATTACATTTATAGCCAAAGTAGAAGCCAAAGATCTCCTCCGAAAGCCAAATGTTAAGTGGTTTAAAGGAAAATGGATGGATCTGGCCAGTAAAGCGGGGAAGCACCTACAGCTGAAGGAGTCCTTCGAGCGTCACACTAAGGTGTGTCTTCACTTTTCCTTCTTATGGGGGCAAAGCTGCAAAGAGAGCTTAAGGATCAGTTTAAGACAACAGGTAGAAGGTCAAGAGCAGGGGAGTCTAACCCTGGCTTCCTCATACATATTTCAGTGGTGGTCTCTGACCCTCTGCGGAAGCAGATTTTCTGCTCTCCCAGCTCAGCATAAGTAATGGTGGGGAAATCAAAATTTCCTGATTTCTGGGTTCCAGTTTCTTTCAAGAGCCCATTATTTGAGATGTTCCTTGCTTCTGGTGCATGTCTGAAAGACTCATGTTTTTCTGCTTTGTGCAAATGTATTCCCCACATTAACAAATGACTATGCTTGATTTTTTAGATTCATACATTTGAGATGCAGATCATCAAAGCTAAGGAAAACTATGCAGGGAACTATCGCTGTGAAGTGTCTTACAAGGACAAATTTGATAGCTGCTCTTTTGACCTTGAAGTCACTGGTAAGGTTCCATTTGTATCCGTAAAGATTTATATTTTTTCTTTCTTTTTTTTTTTTTTTTTATGTGAAATGACACTTCATTTTGTTCAGACCCTTTAAATGAAATAATACTTAAAGTGAATGTTTTTAGCATAGAGCTCAGTGAATTTTCTTGCATATGTAATTTATTGTCTAAATAAACACTGGAATAGATACCATGTGAGACATTTATCCAAAAACTGGAAAAGCTGGCAGGTAAAATCAGTATTGAACTCAAATCAGGCTCTGGCACAGAAAACCCAGGGCTTTGTGTGTGTGCTTAGAGGTCATCAAGATGGGGGCCAGCCTGGCTCTATCCATTCACTGTCTGTGGATCAGAATCATTTAATCTGATCCAGGCTGTCCAAAAGGGGTAATTCACACAAGGGGGATTCCTCCTTGCCCTGACAATTACTGTGAGTCTGTAGCTGTAGAGGTGACTGACTCTGTCTCCTTCTTCTGATGCTGAGCCTACTGAGAGAGCAGGGAAGAAAGCATAGAAAGTGAGAAGACAAAAAGGCCAGAGCCTGTGAATAAGGCGGGCAGGGGAATGGAGAGAAACATCAGAGAAACAGATCTCCTATGCAGAACTGCAGAAAGAACTTCAGAGAAATGGTACACTTAGCACTGAGCATCTTTGCAGATACCAAATGCCAAAGGGGAAGCACAAATGCTGGTCATTCAGCAGGAAACTGAACAAATTTTATATTCCAAATCACACTGAGTACATAAATGATTCAAATTATGTTTTTAATTCCTGTGTTGCCGTTATTTCATAGAATCTTCCCAAGCTGCTCCATCCATTGACATCAGATCTGCTTTCAAAAGAAGGTAACCTCAGTCATCCTATCCAGCTCCTCAGTAATGGACATTAATAGCATGCACAGAACTTGTGTCAGACAATTGAATCAAGTACTTTATAAAATTGGTTTTGTAAATATAGATTAAAGAAGTGGGATTTAGAGTAATTGGTGGTGGTTAGAATGAAATAGTTGCAACACATAGATAGTACATATGATATTAAGTAACCCTAGTGTGAAATTACAAGTGTCATCAATTTAAAGGAAGATTGACTATTTAAGTCAATTAAATATATGTTTCTTTGGAGGTTTTTAAAAATTTATTTTCATTCACTAAAGTATTCTACTGCATGTTTCCTGAAAGCTGTCAGCCACAATATGAAAGTTCCTGGTCCCAATCTGCACAAATTAAAAGTAGAGAGAAAATGCACACTGATTTCAAGAAGACAGGATCTGGCTTTGTTATGTTATAGTAAACAGTAAATACCATCAGTAAGGAAAAACAACAAATAGTATAGTACAGAGAATGTAAGATAAAGCATTGTATCTTAAGATTTGTTACTTTCTGATAAAGTAGCAATTCTAACCAGTATAGGTGTCATCTTTTTGAGATGAAATATATTAAAAATACATAGAATGAAAATGCTTTACAAACAGATAATGAATGCAGTTTGTTAATTTACAAGTAAATCTGTAATTCAGAGATAACTGCTTTTATTTAGGGGGCTTTAATTCAAAGATAAATACAAAACATATTACATTCGGGGTGCATTTCTTTCTTCAGCACATTTTAAAAAATGCAGTAAATACTCTGTCTGAGTAGATGAAGATGTCTCAGTACTTTCTGGTTTCCTAAGTAATATCTTGCATGAAAAATCTTGATTAAATATTGGCTTCATTTCATTCAAGATTTGCACTATTTTTCCCTTTTTACAAATATTATACTTCTTTTGTCTGTATGTGCTCTGTGATAAGGTAATTCTGCTAAAGATCACATCATAGAAAGAAATGCACCTTGATAGGACTGTGGTTCTATCTGTAAAAATGGACAATGCACTGTTTTATTCTTTTTTATAACTGTTTTCTCCCTTCATTTAGAGAAAGGTAAAGTCTTTAAGGTTAAGTACTTTTCAATCAGTATTTGACAGAGCTATGCATTGTTAAAAGCATCACCCAGCCATGCAAATCTTTGTTTTGTATTCACAGCAAGAGATCAGCACAAGCCCTTTGTTTTGTACACTACAGAAACGGGAAAAACAAAGCTGGTTGTGTTGACTAGCTGCAATTTGTTTGTGTTACTTAAATCTAACACAAACCTTGGCAAATTTATGTACTCAGTTACAAAAATTTGCCATCAAAGTATAAGAAGGAGCAATACAAACCTTTGTGTTATTTTTCACAAATGCCTACAGAAACATAATCTGTGTGAAAAAGCATACAAGTTTGTGTTGATTTTATACAATTATTTGTGTTTCTGCACAGTGTTGAATGTATGAGAAGTGTAGAGCATTTGCAATGAGTGTTGTCTAAGTCTTCCTGTATTAAACAAAGATTTGATCTTTTTCTGTTAATAACAGTGGTGAAGGACAAGAGGATGCAGGAGAACTTGACTTTAGTGGTCTCCTGAAACGTAGGTGAGAGCCAAGTGATGCAGTGAGCAGGTGTGGATTGCAAACCATTAGGTTCACACACAGAAACAGTCAGGGGTAGCATTAATAACTCCTTAAGAATTTCGTGACCTTTCAACTTTTGAATGTTTCTAACTGTTTTTTATTCTCATAGTATAATATACAAATGTTCTGTTAATCTTACCTCTAAGTGTGCAGAAAATAAACCTCAGATTAGAGTGTGCTGGGAAAAGTGAGCCTCAGCCTAAAGAGGCCAATAATGTTTAGTTCACTTGCTACTTTTGTGTTTGCATGGAAGGCAGGGGGGGAAATTTCCTACACAGGGATGAGCAGTACAGAAAATTGAGTCTGGCGCAACAGTAAGAAAACTGCAAAGGTTAAATTTATTTCTGTGGATACATCCTCACTTGATTTTATAAGCATACTGATATGAAAAAAAAAATCATATATCATGTTTTCAAGTCATGGATATTGGTATAATTCTTTGTAGCTTTTTATTTAATATGTACACACAAATGCTCAGTCATGTTTTATTTAACTCAAATGTTTTGATGAAAAAATTAGGGTACATGTTTCTCTGATTCGCCTTGAAAATCTGGCGTTATGATAGTTATGTCTCTGGTTATCTCAGATCTTAAACCCATTTTAGTCTTTCACTTGATTAAGACAAGATAGTTAATTCATCATCTTTTAAAATCAAGCAGAGAAATTCTATATGCCATTGAAATCAATAGCAGCTGATCACAGGGAACTGAAAAAGGAATTACATCCTTTGTCTAATCTACCACTTACTCTGAAAGAGGAAAATCTGTAGTATTAATTACATTAAATGGTCACAAAGGGCTCATTGGCTATGAGGGTGAGGATAGCATTTAAGCAACTAAAACACACAGGAAAAGCTGAAGCTGAAAGTAGACAAAGAATTACCCAGACCAATTCCAAACCACCAGGTCTTTGGTTTTTCAAACTTCTCATCCCTAATTAGGACCTTCAGTTTGTCTTTTCATCCTACTAATCAAACTTGCCATGCCGGTTCTCATGACCACCTGGTGTTTCAGTAGTAGCATGAGAGATGCATGTGAGAGTTCTTGGTGTTTTTGTGGAAAGATAAATGTGATTTATGAGACATTATCACTTTACTAACATTTAACTCTTAAGATTTGTAAGATAAATACTGTACAGCCTTATAAACATGGAATACCTGTTGTATGTTTAATGCATAAAGCAAATATTTCGTTTTTAGACACCATTATTTGACTTTGGTCAAATTGGTTCACCTTGCTTCAGGCCCTGAAATGCAACCTCATATTTCTGAGCTTAATTGAATGAAATTCTTAATTAAGCCACAGTGTGGATATTAATATCCATGTGTGTGGATATTAACATCCATTATAACAAAGACAAATCCATGGCTTTATTTCAATCTTTACAACAGGTAATGCTGGAATTGCATTCTTTCTCTTTTTTTTATGGTTGTATGACCAAGGAAAGACCTAGAACTTTTCCGTTTTGGTTCATACTATTTGAAACATGTTTTTTTTTTGAAAAAAAAAAACACAAACAAACCTAAATGCATACAATCAACATACTGTCTATTTTCTAATTTTCTGCTGGTTGGCAGGCAGGTGTATTAAGTCTTTTCTCAGTAAGCCACACCATGACTGGATACGCCGCTTTGTCAATGCAGTGGGTCAGTAGCAGCATAACATTCCAAAAGGCACAAGAGCTAAAAACCACTCACACATTTAGGTCCTTGTTTTGTCATTTTTGGGTTGGTTTTTTTTTTTTTTTGGTTTTGTTGGTTTTTTTGTTTTGTTTTGTTTTTAAATACATCTTGCAACAAAATGCACATATTTAGGAAAGAGATCTGAAAGTGATTTCATGGCAAGGTCAGAGGTCAGTCTGCTTAGGAAATACCATGCTCTGTTTGGCCTCTGGTCTCAGCTCAAACTACTGAGGTCTCAGAACAAAGTTGGCTTACTCTAAGCATCAAAATTCATTCTTCAGTTATGCAAGAGGAAAATGAGCCTGAAATTGAGTCTTTCAGTCTGGTTGAAAGTCAGGATCCTCATTCTCAACCACTGCCTGATTTAAAGGGGAGCTGTATTTGGATTCCCACAGAGTGCACAGCTCCTTGGCATGGGCAGACACTGCCTGGGAGAGGACAGTGCTGCCCCAGATGTGGCTCAGGTTTTACAAGTGTTTGAGGGCTGGCTGGTCTCCACCTGCCCCCATGCAGAAGGAATCTCACTGAAATGGTAGCATTCGCTGTACAGTCACCCTCAGAAAAGCATGAACATGGATAAAAGGAACAAATTATAAAATTACATACCTGAGATTGTCTAACTTACATTGCTGTCTCAGAATTACTGTTTTTGAAAGACTACTCAGAGAGAACCTCTCTTCCTTTTTAAAATTACAGACATATTATGAAAATTAATAAACTTCACAGACTAAAGAGCAAAGTGGTTTCCATAGTTCCTCATCCAACCATCTCAGGGATCTTTAGTGCTATTTCTGTATATGTCAAAGAAAATCCTCTCTTTGACTCCATAAAGCTCAGTTCTAACAGTGCCTCTCTGCAAAACTTGGTATTTTTTTTTCTCAAAAGTTTATTTTCTTGCTCTGTTCTCAAAAGTACTGATATTGTCAATCTGAAAAAATATGATTTTGTTTAGGTTGCTTTCATTGTTCTATCATTTAGTGGCTATCATTGAGAAAATAATTATGCTTATCTTTATTGGTTGTCTTAGCCTGGATTTGCAGATAGTAAATACAGTATTGAAATTTTTGTGTAAAGGTGATTCCTCACACAGGCCTCTGAACGTATTTCCTGCTCTTAAGACTGAGATACACATGGAAGCGAACAGATCCATCCTTCAAGTCCAAGTCGGTGTGGAAATCTCCAGTTCCTATTCATATAACTACTTTAAGTAATGCTGAGAAAAACTGGTGTAACTATAAATAGACACAAATTCCCCTGAATTTCAATGTCCTGTCACCAGTCATCCCCAGTAGCACTTACAGGGACTCAGGGTTTGAAAACATTTTTACATAATTTTGAAATTTACAGATTAGGCTCAGTTGTGCCATCATAAATTGTGATTAATTCCACTGAAGTTATAGCAGATTAAACTGATTTAAGTGGGATTAGCCTGTATACTATTACATTTTCAAACTGTATTTTTTTTGAAACATTGAATCAATATAAAAATTCTTATAACTGATTGTATAAGAAAAGGACAAACAAAAACTTGCATTCAAATTCTGCCTTGAAGAAGTGTAAAGTAAGGAGTGAATGCTATTCTGAGCTACTCCGCTCATACTGAGTGAAATAGAAAAAAATATGATGGCAGCCTTCAAATTTTGGTCAAAACATTTCTAACCTCACCATAGATTCAGCTTCACCTATTTTTTACAGTGTGATAAAACCTCACTACCTCTTCTCCCATAATTTTATTTTGCTAATGTCAGGGAGGTGAAGCAGCAAGAGGAAGAGCCCGAGGTGGACGTGTGGGATCTCCTGAAGAACGCGAATCCCAGCGAGTACGAGAAGATTGCTTTCCAGTACGGCATCACCGACCTGAGGGGGATGCTGAAGCGGCTGAAGCGCATGCGCAGGGAGCCGAAGAAGAGTGCAGGTACGGATGGGGCTGAACGCTCCTGTGCTCGTTAGTCGCATGCAACAGTTCACCTTAAAAACACAAATATGCTTCACTTCCATGCTGGGGAACTTTGGCACTACAAGTCATTCCTGCAGGGAGTTTATCAGAAGGCAGCTTTGGCCCATGGTGGAAGTGTAAACACCTTATCCAACGCAGTCCTTACCTAAAGCATCCCTCCTTCTCAGACAAACACTGGTTCCATCTTGAGAAATGTCCCTCAGGTGTATGGATAGGGGTTACCTAATCAAACAATACAGAAATTATACTTTGTGTTACCATCAATATCTTCTGCTCTAAACAGAGGTCACTCCAAGAACATGTGGTTTCTGCTCTCCAAAATCTCATTTTGCACTTAATCTCCATTGCTCAGAAATCCCAGCTGTACCAGACCCTCCACCCTGCACTGGGTGAGGACATTCAGACCTGAATTCTTTCCCCATCAACCCTACTGAATAGTTTGGGAGGTGTAATTACATACAGAAATACATTTATACACGTGTGTATAAAATACGTGTATATGCCACAGAACATGTTTGCACACACATATAAATACAATGCACTGCCCATTATACTGCTGTGGCATCTGCTTGTTCCTGGACAGCATTTCAGAACTGGATGCAGTATATACTTTTGCTGTGTCACTGGTTTCCTGGAGGCATCCTTGTTATGTGGGTGAAGTCCTCCACAAATCCAGCTGTAATCCAGCTGCCTGATACACCCTCTCTCCTCATCCATTACTTCACATCATAACATGTGTTGTGGTACTACACATTCATTTTTTACATGTATTTCATTCTCTGCATCTAGCCAATCCTATTTGGAATACAGTCACACTGCATGGTCTTGAAGAGATGCCAGCTTGATCTTGGTCAGGACAACCAGATGTGAAAAGCTTTGTGCTTATTCTAGTGTTTCTAGATGATTCCATGGAGACCAGTGTGAGACTATCTCGTGTTGCACAACATTGTGTTCATGTATTCTGACAGGTTTGACGAGATTTACGCAATGTCATTTCAGCATCCACGTTCTTGTTTTCTGATCTCATGTTAAAATAACACTTGACTTCCACAACAGCTTTTGCCAAAGGCCTCGATCCTGCATACCAGGTGGACAAAGGAGGCAAAGTAAGATTCATGGTGGAGCTAGCAGATCCAACAGTGGAACTGAAGTGGTATAAAAATGGCCAAGAAATACGACCAAGTGCAAAGTAAGTGATTTTAGCATATGTGAGCAAGAAAATGGATACACATCTACTCTCTTGACAAGTGTGTTGCCTAGATCTATCTGTTTGCTCAGGCTGCACCAATTTTACTGATGAATTTAATGAGACGTGAGGAGTATGCAAATGATGCTGTGTTTCTCAGGACCCAGAAAAGTACACTGTAGGCTAAATGTACTATAGATTGTCTCCTTTGTCTCAAGACAAAAGTCTTAGAGATCCTCCAAAAAATGTGGTGCCATTTTCTACTCAGTAATTTTCAAAAATGAAGAAGCACTGCCAGTAAATAAATCACTTGTCCTTGGTCCTGTGTATGGAGGTGGACACAATTCTTCTACAGTAATTTTGTGTTAGGAGCAGAGATGTTGAAATCATACACTTATCCAGCCAGCTCATAAACCCCGGGAAAAGGGGTGTGAGTTTTATCTCATCTTCCACTACTCTGTTAACACCCTGAAGTCAACAGCCTGCACCATCAGTCATGAGCAACAGGTCTAGTGTAAACAAGCTTCTTCACCTGTACCACCTGCACGTTGGCTTATTCTCTGGCTTTTTCTAGAAGAAATGAAGGTGCAGACATGTAGAGCAGGGCCTGGAAGTTGAGTCCAGTCCTTTATGTGGGCACAACCAGCAGAAAACCCCATTCCACCCCTGAGGAAGATGTGCATAACAATGTAATGTACCTCAAAAGGTTCTCAGCAGCATGAAGTCCTAGACAATTTTTCCTTTGACTAGTTAAAAAATATAGTAATTAACAAAAGGCCTTTTTAAAGAAATGAGGCAGATTTCCTTCATTCTGTTGAAATCAATAAAGGATTTTGGTTAAAATCCATGATTGACAGAAAAATGGATAATGGAGTACCTCTCTTTAGCCCCTATATCTGACATGAGCAATTCAGAGGTGTTTTGCAGGCAGCGCTATGGATTCCTCTCCAGCAGGAGGGGCTGGATTGAGTGCTGCAGTGCATTTCTACCAGGCTGCTGAAGCAGCTGTCAGATGCTAATGAGCTTCGCTCATTACAAACCTGGAGCAGATCTAAACTGGTGACATAAAGGTGAAAGGCTTCATATCCCATTACCAAAACTCCATATCCCATTACTGGTATCCTGTGCCATCTGGCTTACCAATAATATTAACCTCTTAACTTTGGCTATTATTATACTTCACAAAAATGTTGGAATGAGTGATGGTGTCCTCTTACTGGTTATTTTCAGCTTTACTCATCTAGAGTTTCAGACTCCATTTTATTTGCCATCATTTGACTCCAGTTTTTTTTTTTTTTTTTTAAATTTCTTCTTTTCGCATCACCCAGACCTGGGATCTTGGAACAAGCCAGAAGCAGCTCATTATCACTCTACACCATAGATCTTTTTTTGCTATAAGTCTATGACAGCTCTGTTGAAACTTGGAACTTGCTTCCAAGGACAATTTTCCCAGTACTGTGTATACTCCAGAATTTTTGCATCTAAAAATCCCTACAGCACTTTATACATAAAACAAAAGGGATCCAGAAGTTTTGCTAATGTGTCTTTGCTGCATTCCTATCCAGATACATTTTTGAGCACAAAGGTAACCAGCGAATTTTATTCATCAATAACTGCACGATGACAGACGATGCTCGCTATTACGTAACAGCTGGTGATGAGAAATGCTCCACAGAACTGTTTGTGAGAGGTAACTATGTCAGCTTAATGCTGTTTCACCTGCCCTAAATTTACATGCCTTCTTTGGCTGCAACAGAAATTATCAGGGAGCATCTGGTTTGGTATATTTTTGAATTTGCATTAGCAGCTGTTAGGATCACTTGGTATTTCTGTGATCCCTGGCCATTTTTTTTTCTCATCCTGTAGTTAGCAGCTTAGTGAAAAGCCTGAAATGGGGATATAGTCAACTTGGTACTGTGCATTGGATCTAGTGGGGCTGTGGTGCCCTTCAAAATTTTAAGCCATTTTGGTGTCAAAGCACTGGCTTCCCCTAACACCACACTTGGTATCTGAGGACTCTGGTATTGTCCAAGTGCCCTCAGGTCAGGCTTCTTCAACTCTCTTTGCTCCCCTGGTGTTGATTATCAAAGCAAAAAAGGTATAAATATGAACAAATGTCACTTTTATTGAGCAAATTTTCTACTAGCATTCTAAGGAGCAAGAACTTTTCTGATTTAAGGCAGAAAAGGCTGCAATGATACTCATATTAGAACTTGAAAGTAATACTGCCTTCTAGATGATTTAGAAAATCTCTTTCTCTTGGTTTTCCTTCTCAGATCGTAAATCTGTAATTTTTTCTTTCCAAAGATCCTCCGATTTTGGTGACCAAAGGCCTGGAGGATACCAGCACCTATGTTGGTGAACGAGTAGAGCTGAGCTGTGAAGTGTCTGAGGATGATGCAAACGTGAAATGGTAAGACACACTTTGAACAATTTCCATGAAAATAAACCCCAGAGGCTTTTAATTGTGGACAAAATTGTGGGCAGCTTTTCCTAAACAAATAAACCTGAAAATTTTTAAGACAATCTCAATAAAACCTTATTCAAAAATTTAGCAACACCAAAAATACCCTTATACATGGATGAGTTTGTTTAACCTTTTCTTGTGCCTTATAGTCTTGCAAAGTCTTTTCTCGGAATTTCAGTCTATGGAAGTCTTGCACAGGACTTCCTTTGGAAAATAAAAATTCTTTCCTTTCCCTTAGGTTTAGAAATGGTGTAGAACTCTCCAACGATCCTAAATCTCGGTATCGAATTAAGGTTGAGGGTAAGAAGCACACTTTGGTCATAGAGGAGGCTGCCAAAAATGACACTGCAACTTACTCAGTAATGACAACTGGAGGGCAATCAGAAGCCAAGCTTTCAGTTGACTGTGAGTATCATCCACCTGGCTCCTGAATTCATAAGCCACAGTGTGCTGGCATACAGAAATGAACAATTTTCTTGCCTTTCCCTGGGGGTTGAAAAGGAGACTTAATTTCCATAGCAATTTTTTTGCTGTGAATCTCCAGAAGAGTGACTTGCCTTCAGACACTATTTCCAGCAGCAGGCAATGAACTGGTTCTGCTTGTTAACTTCCTGTCACTCCATTAAAATGGAAAACAAAGTGATCCATCCAAAGGTGAAATAGGTCAACAAGGTGAACTTTCAAGGGAAGTATCTGCTTTTCTTCAGACCTTTCAGGTCTTCACAGGAAGGCCAAACCAAGGCACAAGCACATGACTGTGTAGTCCTCTCAGCTTTGGTTGTGTAATATCTCTTTAAAGGGCTTATGTCTTTAAACAAAATGTATCTGATCCATCCTCTGAATTTATCTTGCATTATGCAGAAATGTACATTTTTATTTGTAATATTCATGCTGCTCTTGGCTATTTGGTACAAATTGGCACCCTGACCAATACATGCTGCTTTATTATTAAGTTGGAAATTACCCCCCATGGCTACTGAACTCCATCATCTTTCTTTAATGCATCTGCTTCTGTGTTCCTAAGTGAGACCTCTGAAGATATCACTTGCACTAGATGACCAGACTGTGAGGCTGGGACAGGAAATCCACTTGAAGTGTGAGATATCTGAGAATGTGGAAGGGAAATGGTACAAAAATGGACAGCTGATTGAAGCTAGTGACCGTGTAAAGCTTTATCACAAAGGAAGGTAAGCCTGTTGTGTTTTGGCTTGCCTTTTGGTGGAATGAAACTGTGGAGTTGTGCCAGTATGTTGTTACCACACTAAAAATTATCTGTTAATCAAGCCTAACCTCTGTCCCTCAAGACATTTATTTCTGTAGTTTTAAAAGCTATGTCTCCTTGCTTCCTTTAATCTTGTGTATTTTGGCTGTGGAGGACAAAAATCAAATTCTTGATCCACCTAAGTTCAAACTACTGATTTTTCTTTCCATTACTGTTGCTGGTGGTATGGGATATTAAGCAGAAGAATAAAATTATTGTTAGACATGATTAAAAATATACAACTCTTTTTCTCTTTCCTTTCTATACCTCTTTTTCTCCTAGCTATTTTTCTCCTGTTTGTATCAACTGACAAAGATAGACCAACATAAGTCAGAATATTCCCACAATGGGATCACCTACAGATTTTTTTCTTGAGCAACCAAAATGTAGTTTAATGGCAGCAGCATAGAATCCCTGTGTAAAAGAGATTACACTCCTGTATTTTCCTTGTTCTGTGTTCAAATAAACAATATTAGAATTGGTTACTTTATTTGGTGGTTGTCTCAATAATATTTTGTACAAAGCACATGGTATTTAATTGCCTTAGCTACCACTAAGCAACAAGCAAAGGATTTTTAGTCAGTAATTTTATTCACTTGCACAGATCTCCTAAAATTTTCACATATTTTTCCTTAAAGCTTCAAGCAGTGTTCAAAAATAATTTACACAGATTTCTTTCTCAATTCTTTTACAGAATCCACAGATTTGTTATACCAGTTTCTGCTGTTGATGATGAGGGGGAATACATGTTTGTGCCAGATGCCTACAACATTAATATTCCATGCAAAGTACATATTGTGGGTAAGTATACTGCACAGTGATCTGTATGGAACATCTTTCTCTGACCTTTGGAAATTAAATGCAGTGTGAAATACCCCTGATCAAAACCACTTTGTGTCCTCTGAGTGGGCATCCACCAGAGCAAACAGACCTGCAGCTTTGGCAAAGTGCAGTTGAGCTGCTGGGAGAGTTCTTTGTCTATGCTCAGGATCTGCTCATAGTTTATGTTCTGGGGGGAGCTCCTGGGGGAGGCTTCTTGAAGCTGAGCTCCTAAAGCTAAACCATTGTGAAGAGTTTATGCAAAAAACCTGTTGCTATCACTTCTCAGATATACACCGCTGTCTTTAAGAACTGGTTTGCTAACATTGCAAAATGTGATTTAGTTTGATAAGAGAATAGTAGAATAAGCACATCTTTACCTATCCATTAAATGCTGTCTAGAAGGAAAAATTCTTCTGTCTAGCTTTGATTCATCTGGCAAAGCAGGAGGCTTGTAAGTGATCCCAGTCCTTCAAACAAAAATAAAACAGGGCATTGACTATTCCCACAGCAATACCTCACCACTTCTAACTGCAACCAGCAGCTTGGAGGTCAAAAGAACAGCAGTATAAATGACTAAAGTTTTAGAAAACATGTTTTTTAATTTAACCTGAGAGATATGGGATATGTGTATTACAAAAAGTATTGGTGGGATTTAGGGAGTATCAAAAGGGAAGTGGTTCTAAAGGGGAATGACCACTGTTATATTTCTAATATGTTAAAAAAAGTAACAAGTGGATATTAATCAGTTATTCTCCATACACAGAGTGCATAAGAAAAGTGAAGTTTTTTGTTTCCAGAAAAGGATTGGAGTTTATAAATTTTAAACTGCAAGGACAGTGAAGGATGAAGCGTGGTTAGATGTGTCATAAAAAAGCCCACAACTGAAATTCCCCAGAGCCACTTAGAGGAAAACGCTCTCAGAAGTTACCTGAATACACATAATTCTGCCTCAGGGAAACAGTTGTGGTTTTTTTCATATGGTCTTATTATTCCAAAACGTCTATGGTGCCATGATTTCTTTTTCATCAAGGAATTATTCTTTAAATAGATTTTTCTTCACAGGTTTTCTTTAAAACAAAATTCAATTGCTTAAAACTACCAAGAAAATAAAACATAGAGCATGTTTCTGTGTGTTGCAGACCTGTGCCAGGTCACTGAGCTCTCAGAGCAGTAGCTACGTCTAACTTGGACACTCTCTCCTTTTTCAGATCCTCCTAAGCTTCACCTGGATGGTCTTGGGGAAAATAACACTGTGACGGTAGTGGCAGGAAACAAACTACGACTTGAGATCCCCATCACTGGTGAACCACCTCCTAAAGTCTTTTGGAGTAGAGGGGACAAGGTACCTTGTCATTGTAGAGGCTTCTTTAGCTGAATAAGGAGCCTTTTCCTTTAAAAACATAATCTTTAGCCTTTTGAAGACATAGATTTTAATGGCAGAAAATAAGAGGGAGATGCCCTATTGCTCAAAAAAGAAAGGTAAAACAGATAAATATTATTTAATATCTTTTGAACCTTTTTAAGAAAAGTCTGAAATTAAGAAGGAAAAAAAATTACTTTACTATTAAAAAAATAGTAGAGGAGAAGGATATATGGGATGCAGAAGAACAGTTGTGAGAATTTGCCAAATGGCTATTTCTTCTATACATTCAATGCCCAGAATGGCTGCCAGGTTTCGGCAGGAAGCCATGATATGGTCTGGTTTTTGAAAATGAATGATAAATTTTAATGGAGTTGAAGTCTCAAATGAAACAATAGGCAACTGGGGTCTTGCATCTGGTGTCTTAATGCAAAAATTTTGCTTAGATCAACCCTGGCTCTTTAAATACCAAAATAGTCACTTTTTCACATTTAAATTTTCATTGTGCAATGTAGAAGCTGGGACATGTTGCCACCACTGCTCATATCAAACTTATCTGGTCAAATCTGTGACCTATATTTTTCAAATATTAATTGTAGTGTCACCACTGTGGTCCTGTCCAAACAGGGAATTATTCTAGGAGAGCTCCTACACATATTCCAAAATATGTGACAGCATTTGAAATCCATGAGGAGAAACTACTTATCATTGCAATCACTCTGACCTTTCAAGTGAATGACTTACTTTTGATCTGACTTTTGGAAGAATCACCTATTCTTTTTCCATCAAATTAATGATATGTGGTGTTGGCAAAAGTGTGTTCCACCTCAAAGGAGAAGCCTAGTGCTTCATCCTTTGTGATGGAATGGCTTAATTGAGTAGTAAACTAGTAGTTATTAGTAGTAGTAAAATAGTAGGTACTATGTTTTACTTATTTTAGTTATTTTGTCAGTTTTCTCATTAGGTGACTAAAATGCTGAGGTTTGGTGTGGTTTTTCTTACAGTTGCTTTAATGTTTTTGTTGAAGAGACCTGTACTGCTTTCAAATTTTGATTTTTGAATATTGTGATTCTCAAGTCCAGAAAATATGACTTTTCTCTCTGTTCTCTGTGGCTCCTAGATGGTCACAGACAGTGGAAGAATACGGGCAGAATCATACCCAGACAGCAGCTGCCTGGTCATTGATGCAGCTGAGAGGGAGGACTCAGGTCCTTTTAGAATCACTTTAAAGAATGAGGCTGGAGAGGACACGGCTCTAATCAACATTAAAGTGGTTGGTAAGTCATGTGAAACAGTGCCTATGAGCCATGTCTTTTATCACTGCAGAAGGATCTCAGGAAACTTCTCAGGGAATTTTCCTACTTGTCCCCATTGCCTGGTGTGGAACTGGGATGCAGGGTACGAAAGCTGGGTGTTACTGAAGGGAGTAGGAGCTTGGAAGGGATTTAAGTAGGAGTTGATTATTGCTGCTGCCAGGGGCCAAACTTCTCTGGTTGCCTCAGTCTGCCATTATCACTCCTGATTCTCCACTCCCCCTGTGGCTGTGGGCTCTGTCTTGGCACATGCCCTCGAGAGCCTCTCAAGTGTCTCAACCGTGCAGAAGAACTTGGCATTCATCCATTCCAAACCACCAGCCACGATCCACTAAATTTCTTTTTCGTGCTCTCTCTCCTCATTAGGAATTCCTGCTGCACCTCAAAAACTATTTAGATTTGTTTCTTATTTGACATTTTTAATTTCAACCTATGCAAAAAAAAAAAAGAAAGAAAGAAAGATTTTTTAAAATAATGTTTACTTTGCTTAAACAGATGTTCCTGATCCTCCTCAGGCACCAAATGTGACTGAGGTGGGTGAAGACTGGTGTATTATGACCTGGGAACCTCCAGCAAATGATGGTGGATCACCTATTTTAGGTACATACTATTTTTTTTTTGGTGGTGACTGTCTAATACAGACAAAAGAAGCAAACACTGAATAGGATCAGAGTTTAGTTCAGGCCCTGTAAAGTGGCACTGGGAATATCCAGTAGCTAGTATGTTCTACCTACTCTGACTTTATCAGATACCTGTTTTCTTAATGCTTCGAGATTTTTCATTTTCTATGTTGTTACATTATCATGTCCCCTACTTGAAAGACAACCTCATAAAACCAAACTTGGCATTGTTAGTAATCTCTTTGAATGTTAGAAGAAATTTCAGAAACAATTTATTGGGTAAAATGGAATATCTTTTAATACACCAAACCAAGAGGAAAGTCAGAGGGGCCCAGAGGTCAGTAGAACCAGACCCTTTTCACTAAACACAGCAGTTTTATAAGTCATAAAAGCTCATATATGGCTATGAAAGCAAATAGGTGGCCATCAGATAGCTTGCAATGATGAAAATTACCACTCTGAAGCTAGAAGGGAATACTGAGATGTATCCAGGTAAAAAATTGTCACTGGGCAGTCAAAAAATAGACCTTTTTTTACTGACCTTTATGCCATCACTTATTATCATAAAATCTTTTCTGGTCAAAAGGATATTTCATTGAGAGGAAAAAGAAACAAAGCTCCAGGTGGATGAGGCTGAATTTTGAACTGTGTAAGGAAACAACTTTTGAGCCAAAGAAAATGATTGAAGGTGTTGCTTATGAGGTCCGTGTGTTTGCTGTCAATGCCATCGGCATGTCCAAGCCAAGCATGCCTTCCAAGTCCTTTGTTCCTTTAGGTAAGTAAACAAGAGCAGAGATAGGTATGCATTTAGAAAATAACCATTAATATGTTATTAAAATCACCTAATTATATTTTTTTATTAGTGTGACAGCTAGAAAGCTTTGTCATTCCCGCAGTGACAGGCTAACTCAGTGATCTTTTCATAAAAAGAAACAAATTTTCAAACTATTGTGACAACTACAAGTCCCTGTAAAAGAAAGGTCTCTTGTTCTGTAGATCAGCAAAGGTTCCCCCCTTGCTCAGCAGCACCCCAAGAATGTAGAGGAGGAGGAAGGAGGGGGCTGTTACAGCTCCAGCATGCTCCCTTCTCGCCAGACATACCTGCTGAGCTAGAAGACACTGCTCCCAGTTTCTCTGCTCTACCAGCCACAGCTGCTTGTCCTTCTCTCTCCTCTACAGGAGGAATTTATTTTCCCTGGGTCAGGCTGTGAGCAGATATGGGATGAGATAGCTGCTTTTTCCTAGCATGGTCCTAACTGGGAAAGATGTGCCAGGGATAATGGGAAATAGCCTGTCGCCTTGATAGTAAAAGGTTTTTAAAATCATGGGGATTTAGGGTTAAAAGGAAAATTAAGATTAGTAAGCCCTGAAAAAATAAATACCCTAAGTACATGAAGGCCTTGTACCTTGAACTGCACCTCTGTAGCTAGTACATGATAAATGATATAATTGTTAGATGTGATGATTGTTTAGTAATTAAATATAGTTACTGTTTAATCGTAAGAATAATCATCAGAAACTGTGGTCAGGGGCCTAAGAAAGATGACGAGAAACTTGTGCTTGAATAAAGTCAATGTATACAATAGAACAATATAAGTTTAATAATTAATATGTAAGTTTTATAACGATAGAGTATAAAATACATTCAGCTCGAAAGCCATGTCGGAGTCAGATTTGGGTCTGTATCCCTGATTCCCAAAGCTTTCAATAAAAGCACCTGCATATAATCAAATCCCGTGATTATGCGTGTTCCTGAACGCTAACAACCTGGGATACTGAGCTAGAGCAACACAGACCATAAACATAAACCTTTAGTGGTAACAGTGTTCGGCCTTCTCCCCGCTTGCTTCAGCTGTTACCAGCCCCCCAACCATGCTGGCAGTGGACAGTGTGACCGACACCTCGGTGACGATGAAGTGGAGGCCACCAGACCAGATTGGGGCGGCGGGGTTGGACGGCTACGTGGTGGAATACTGCTTTGAAGGAAGTAAGTGAGAACACCCGGAGTCCCTGACTCACAGGGAAAGTGGGTGAGACTTTCTCCATTTTTTCTCTACAGGTATCAGGTGCTCTGGCTGTCAGGCAGAGAATAATCAGGCAGAAAACCTCAAGGAGCAGGGTTTTGTTCAGGCTTCCCTTGGTTTGTATTCCAGATGTCACCCACTGACTATGGTTCAACTTTTCTTGCACTTGATTTGAAGTCCAAATCCAAAGCCATATAATCTGCTGTAGTGTACCAAGTACCGTGCTAATAACTCCCCTCTTTCAGATGCTAAATGAGAGTCAGGGCAGTAAAGAGTTCATTGGTGGATGAAGGCATAGGAAATAATGAATGTGTAAAGGTGTGGCCCAAAATATGTTCAGGCTGACTGGGTTTTAGGGACAAGAGGTTCTCAGTGTGGTAATCTCTATGTTGACATGTTACTAACTAGCTACTTCAAGTGCCCGCTGCCAACACTGAGAACAGCCTCTCCAATAGCTCCTGTAGAAGTCATCTAGGCATGCAAAGTCCATGTCTAGATCTTTAATTTCTCCAACATTTCAGTGCAGTTTTGGGGATCTTTAACTATGTCCATCTAAGACAAAAATATATAAGAACTGAAGGAGGAAGATAAAGAGACTGAATTAACTTTTGAGAGTAAAATAAGAAGGAACAGGGAAATAGAAATTATATTTTACAACTAAGAGTCTTTGGTGATCAAGCAGCAAAAACTTAGTATTTTCCAGCACGTTTTCTCCTGAACTTACATCAAATGAAGCCTATTTTCAAAAAGTAAAATCCACCAGCACCTGGGTAAGTATCAAATAGCCTGGAGTGGTATGTGCAATACCCAGCCTCTGTGGACCAACATTTCAACTGCAGCAATGTTGTGGACATGGATGAAGAGGACACAGTTATCTTCAGCCCCTGCTCCTTGTGCTCCTGCAGAGCAACTGCTGTTGCTCTTAAGGTTGCTGTAAATCAAGTGAGGGGTTGAACACCTTTTTCCACATAGGCATTATTTCAATGAAAGTTTTTCATGAATGCAATCCATAGCCTGGAGACAAAAGGTAGAGGACAGAATCTGTCATTCATGCTGTCACATGTTTCAGATTCAGAAAATACAGGAAAACAGTAGGTCATAAACATGGTCATGTGCCACGGCACTCAACTCTCTCTCAGGCAAGTGGGAGAGGGTGTGAAGAAGAACCACTGGCTTTTCTCAGGAGCACTCAGCATCTTGTAGTATTGAGATGAATATCTTTAAGGAGCAGGACTGCAAGAGGCTCCATGACCTGGAGAAGAGTACCTGAAGGCAGACTCAGCTGGAATGGTAGGAAGGGTTTTCCTTGTATATTGGGAGGGAGCTGTGGGAACAGCTCAGAGTGAGTAAGCATGCAGTCTTCCATCAAGACACAGTGTTCTTTTTTTGTTTTTACTGCACAGGCCAGGTGTAGGGGAATATTAAGGGGACTGTCAATGTGAGGACTTCAGTGTATGCTGTATATTATGCTTTGTGTAGCATTGGGTAGAATGAAAGGGAATAATGCTGCTTGACATTAAGAGTATGTGATATCCAGATTAAGTGATAAGAGAGGATGAGAAATTCAGACAGGTTAATTCAAAGCATGGCTTTGAAAAGGAATCTTCTAAATCTGTCTTTAAAGGGCTATTAGACAGAAGAACAATAAATACCTATTAAATGGAACAAATTCTTTACTTTTTTTTCCAGATAGGTTTTAAACATGAAGATACAACAAAATGACAGCCAAGTCTGTCATTTTACTGTTACCCACCTCAGTTAAAATACAATGGGTACAATGTATTTTACAGAGTTTTGAGTGTTTATGTATATCTATATAGACCTCCTATATATGCATATACATCTATATATACACAATTGACATTATGTATATATGTTATGAAGATGCTTAGGAAGCAGCAAGAGAAGCAGAAAATACCAATTTTAAAATGTCAATTTTAAAATGCCAATTTCAAAAGTCATGTTATTGGATTATTCATCTTTTTCTCTCTGTTCAGTTGTTTTTCCCTTTCTTTCAATATCTTAGTGCCTCTTTTTTCTCAGCCCTGTTCTGCCTTAAACTAATTTTTTTCTGTAATGTTTAATAACTCTTTTTTAATTTCAAGATACTTTTTATGACTGTCTATATTCATTCTGCTGTTTTTTTCTCTTAGTTATCTGTTTGTAAACTCATCTATATTTACATCCTCCATTCTTTCATTGTTGTCACAGAAGTAGTTTTCAAGAGGGGTTTTTAGAGTCTTCCTTAACATAACAATCATTAGGAGAAATCACTAGCTGACAATAGAAGACAAAAAAATTATAAAGATAATATAGGAAAATAATGTATCATGAACTTTGGTTTGGCTTTGCAATATTGGTATTTTCATTTAGTCAGAACCACATAACTTGATCAATGTGGTGCATTCTTGGAGTCCTTAACTATGTACTATTCCATGCATATTACTAAAATGGAGCCTCATCATGAGTATCTTGATCCACCATTGCATAGGTGTGAATAACATGAATATTGACTATATACATATATATATATAGAGAGAGAGAGACCTAGTTTACAATATCCAACTTTGGCCCTCCTGCTGTGGAGATGTGGAGCAGGCCAAATCCTGTAGACACAGGAGAAGTCAGTCCCCAGTAAAGTGTGCTGCTGACCTGTTCTTGTGGGGCATTTGGAGGGCAGCCTGGGAAGCACAGCCTGAGTGCTCCCCATGCCAAAATGTTTATCTGCTTGTAACAGGCTGTTGTACCTGCAGATGATCTATTTTTATAGCTGGTAAATAAACACTTCAGAGAGTTTCTGTTGGCTGAGATCTTTGCCAGTATACTCATCCAGGACCATGCAAAAATACTAGAATAATATTTTTATTATCCCAAAAATAGCCAGCTCCAGGATTACAGGAAATCCAGGGCAGTGATAATTCGTTCAGGAAGTAAAGCCTTAGGGTTTACATCATATCTGTCATCATCCATGGGTCTGGTCTTCTTTAATCTTCTATCTATGTTCCTTCAGCTAAATGTGTTCTCTTCCTCTGTTTCCTCCAAGTTTTTTCCAAGACCTTTTTTTCTGTCTCTCTTACTCAGAATTTATCTCTGATTTTTTTATCTCTTCTACAATGTGTTTTCTTCTCCTTCTTCACTTTCTCTCATCATCATTTTGTTTCATTTCTCTCTTCCAAGTGTTCCTTTTGTCTCTTTCTTTTCATATTTCTAGGGCTATTCTTGGGCCCAAAAACTCACAGAACTTTATATCCTCCTCTTCTTTCATCCTTTATCTTTCCTGTGGGCATCACATATAATTGTTCTGTATCTAGATGCCCTCTTTCAATCTCTTTTCTCCCTGCAGTCTCCCTAAATATGGTTCTCTAAATCTGTAAAGCCCAGCAACTATCTTTGCATACTTACTAACAGGAATTGCTAACCACTGACAAAATGCTCCATCTGTGTGAAAGTGGGTGTCTCTGATTAATTTTAAAGATGGATTCTCTCAAGGTATATCGACAGATCTGTCTGAGGATTTGGGGGAGCCACCTTTTAACCTGGAAGGTACAGTATTGCACAAAGGATATAAGTCTTCTTTAATGAAGGAAAAACTCTCTTCATAAAAGTAAAGATAAATTCCTAAATTCCAGTGAATTTTAGGGGCAACAGTCTACAGAATTTTCTGTAGTATAGGGGTAAAGGGGAGGGGGAGATATTTGGGAAACAGTCAATGATTTAAATCCTTTTCTGCTGGAAGCTTGAATGAAAACTTAATTCCTAAAAGCAAGACACTCAGTTATGAAAATGTACCACAGCACTACGCTCTAGTTCTGCGGGGCTCTCCAGTTCATAACAGTTCTCTTGTCTTGCACTCCTGTGCCCAGGTGCCAGCAGTGTTAGGGCAGTCTCTGCTGGGAGGATGGGGTGGATAAGAAAGTCTGGTTTGTAATTGAAGCTGTTCACAAGACTGTGCTGTTATGATCACTCTACAAATTTCATGCGACCACCTGGGGGTAGGATTAAAAATCTGAGAATGCTGTAATTATGTGAGCAATTCTGACACAGCCTTCCTTTTGTTTTAAGGCATGAGGAGAGATGGCATTTCATTGCAATGTATAAATATTCTATGTTTCTCTCAGTTATACTTTCAAGGGTACTCAGTACTGGTTGAAATTAATTGCAAAACCCATTTCTCTTCAAGGAAGCTGTTAAAGCAATGATGAGTGCTTTTGGAAATATATTCCTTGTCCCTTTTGTTTTATTCTAGCTGAATTAAAAACTCTAACCAGTTTTCTCTCTGGTACACTTAAATTATAGACATATTCTAATAACATTTGTATAATTATATTAAGATATATAAATACATGAATATACAAATACATAATCAGCAGAAACCCTTTAGGGTTTGAAACATTCTTCCTACATATGAAAATGCATCTACATTGTGTTACAGCATAATTAGAAAAACAAAATAGAACTAGTCATTAAAATCTAACTAATCTACTACTGTTCTGTAATTTTCATCATCCATGCTGTGGATGTATTTATAATTCCCTATTCTTTGGATTTGTCCTCTTCCCCTCACTTCTCTAAACCAGCTGATGAATGGATCGTGGCTAACCCAGAGCTGACAGACAAAACGAAGTTTACCATCAACGGCCTTCCAACTGGCTCAAAGATCCTTGTGAGAGTAAAAGCTGTGAATGCTGCTGGTGAAAGTGAGCCCAAGTACCACCCACAGCCTATTTTAGTCAAGGAAGTGATAGGTAAGATCCTGCTGCCTACACTTACCCACAAATACATCCTGTTTCCATACTAATGGGAAAAAAAATGGGGGTTTTTTTGAGGCTAATACTTACTTGTTATTGGTAACTGATAATATGGCCTTACAAAGCTATTGTGTGGTGGCTAGAAATCAAGAAACTGTCTTTAAAAAATTTCATAATTTTGTTTCATTTCTGAGCTTTTATTTCTCAGTTTTTCAGGGCTTTTTTTTTTCTGCAGAACTTGAACCTGATGGTTGTTTTTTTTAGTTCTTTGATGCTTCCCACCAAATCCTACCATTGTAGCATTTGATGTTATAAAAGCTGATGGTGTGCTGGATGCAATGCTGGGGAACCAAGAAATTTAAGACACCTCACTCATTAGTCACTTCTGGGAATTTTAGACCACACTGTCTCCTTTTTATACTGATGCACACCATGCTGCCTTGGTTAGAAAGGAAGATAAGTACTCAACACAAACTTTTGTTTCGTTCAGAACCTCCAAAGATTCGTCTACCAAGACACTTAAAACAAACCTATACTCGAAGAGTTGGAGAAACTGTGAATCTTGTTATTCCTTTCCAGGTAAGAATTAAAAACAATGACAGAAAAATTATTTTTGCCTTTTTTTTTTTTCCTTTCTTAAAAATTTTTCTTGATATTTTTCTTTTTAAGTGATTCCTCTGTAATTTTGGCCAGTGAGCTAAGTTAAGCACATGTGGAAGCACTCTGAAGTACAGAGATGCTTGAAAGTTTTTGGTTCAACGTCTCAAATAAATTATTTTCAGCCAAGTAATGAATTGGGTAACTCACTCAGACAGACTGATTGGTTATCTGTCATCCAAGGGACACTTAGAAATCTTCACAGCAGGCATTGCACATGAGACAATTGCACAATGCAAAGGGGTTTCTCTGGAAACAGTTAAATATGGGTATCAAGAGTGGAACAGCAGCATTTAACAGCTTCCTTGTCATGAGAAGAAAAATCAGGGGAAGAGCGGGCAGACTGCAACTGTTAAATCCTTGAGATCACAACTGTAATATGACTATTTCTAAAATACATAGCATGTTTTCCCACAGCTTTGTGTTAACCTTCATTCCAGCACCTTTAAACAGCAGCTGCCTCTCTCTTTGTGAGGTCCTTCTTCAGAAGAAAAGAATTATGGCAGAATTCATTTCTCTTTCATGTCTGCACATTTTAAGATACTGAGTGGGCATAACTCAGCCTCACAGAGGCTGTTAAAAGCCTCATAAAAGCTTGATCAGCAGTTCACTGCAAGATATATTTCTCTTGAGAAATTAAAGGAATATTTCATGGTTATTCTCTAAGATAAGGTGTTCAAAATGGTGTGAGATTACCCTTTTCAGACAGCATCTGCAAACTGTTTGCCTGTGAAAGGCGAATCCCACGGCAAAGCAGGTGAAATTCACTCTAAGTACCTATATTGGGTACTTAGACACACAAAAAATGGCACACAAAAGAGATCAATCCAGCCTTCCTAGCAGCTATTACAACTTCCTTTGCAATGAAAGGAGAGATTTTAGGATCCCTGGAGGTTGAATCTATTACTTTCCTCTTTCACTGGCAATGTAGAGAATGCAAGCACTTCCAGAGAGTGAAATACCTTTTTTTTATATTTTCTGTGGGTTATTTTTTATTCCCTTTTCTTTCAGAAAACAGGAAATTATTTGTCAAATTTAGCCAGAGGGACAAATGTCCAGTATAGCCAGAAATTGCAAATATTTTCAGTCTCCTAAGCAAAAAAAAAAAAAAAAGGAAAGGTGAATTTCAGGTGAATTTGTATGATTGCATCTCTAAATGGTATATAATTAAAAAAATAATTCTGTTTATTTCAGGACAATTTATATTTCCTGTCTGTGAAAAATGCAAAATAAACCTGTTTACTTCTCTTCCCTTTTCTCTCCAAAAAAATCATACAAAAATTGTTTCCTGGCTCCTTGCAGGGAAAACCAAGGGCAAAAGTATCTTGGGAGAAAAACGGTTCTCCGATAGACAAGAATGATATCAACATCCGCAACACGGAGCAGGACACCATCATCTTCATCCGAAAGGCAGAGCGGGGCCACTCCGGGGAGTACGACATGAAAGTGGAGGTGGAGAACTTGGTGGACAAAGCTACGATAGATATTCAGATCGTTGGTATGTTTGGAGAAATGAAAGTAAATCCAGCTGTTCCAAGGCTACAGGAAAATGGGAATGCCGACATCTTTCTTGGCGGTGATATCTCTCCACGTCCAATTACTTGGCTGTAGATTTGTGGTCTCTCAGGAAATCTCCATACACCATAGCATTATTGGAATGTGTCAGCCTCTTTTCTTCTCTGTTCAGCCCCTCATGTTTTTGTCTATCCAGGATGCAAGATTTTTCCTGTTGAGTGGTACTCATAGACAGTAATGGTAACAAATTCATAATAAGTTTGTCACAAATGCAGCGTGGAAGAAATCCTAAATGCTGAAAGTAAGAAAGGGAGGAAAGACAAGAAAACACAATTCTTTTTCATTTTTACCATCCATAATAGGCAAAACTGGCAGCACAACTTTATTACATGTACTGTAATTCTGACATGCCTTCTCTTTGGAAAGTTTTATTTTGCAACCACATCTTTCTTCTGACTTTTGTTTTGGTTTTTTTTTTTGGGTTTTTTTTTTTTTTTTTTGGTTTTTTTTTGGTAAGAAAGAGAGAGAAATCAAACTAATTGGAAGATGTGTGTGGGAAAAAGATAGAGAAAGCAAACAGTAAAATAAGTCATTTTTGTTGCAGATCGCCCAGGCCCACCAGAGGTTGTGACTATTGAGGATGTCTGGGGAGAGAATGTGAATTTATCATGGAAGCCACCAAAAGATGATGGCAATGCTGCCATTACTGGGTACACTATTCAAAAGGCAGATAAGAAGAGTATGGTAAGTAATAAGGAGATGTTTAAAAGCTGGATGTACTCATGAATTCTCCCTTTTAAAAACAGAAAGCTTTACATGCTTAAAAGCATGTAGGTGCACAAAGTACTGATTTATCAGCATTTGAAATATCTCTACAGGGTCCTCTAAAAGCTCTAAAATTCACTAAACCTAGAAGTAGAAATATTTTCAAATTATTCCAAAGAGAAGGACTAAAAATGGGAAAGATAGGTGGATTTGAGAGAAGAAATTATGCATTTTCCCTTTGCCTCAGGAGAGAAAATAAAACCTTAAAATACTAATTCTGAATTCAGTAGGCTGCTACCAGAACAAAAGTGTTCCATTGCTGCTGTTTTCAAACCTGCAATGTCACACTGTGTAAGTCATTGCCATTCCTTACTACCCATGGCAAAACAGTACATAGGTACTTCTGTAACTGCCCTGAGATTTACAGATGAAAACTGCAATACAGAAATAATTATTATTTTCATTAAACTAACAAAAATTGTACACTTCTTTAAAAGACAGTAGTCAGATTTAACATTTACTGCAAATTCAAACACTGGAAATCTAGAGCAATATTTAGGTATTTAGGGAGATGCCTTCTCCAAGAAATTAATTTACTGTCCTCTCCTATCCCCACATTAATATGTTGATCTCCATCATAGTCTGACCAATTAATTCTTCTTATGCCACTATTTTCCTTCCCATCCTTCTTTTTCTTTCTTTTTTTTTTTTTTTTTTCTTCTCCTTCTCTTGAGACTGTAAGAACATGTGGTCTCTAGTACAGTGACCAGAACAATGTCTCCTCTAAACTACTGTGATAAGGAGAAAATAACAACAGCAAGCAGCATCTAGAGTTCAGTGTGAAATGGATCATTCAGGTCACTTTTTCTCCAGGTCACCATATCTGTGGTGGTGCATTTTGCACTTCTGGCACAGCTAGTCTTCTACAAAAAACTGTTTTCCCAAAGGAACTTTAGCTCTTAAAGCTGACCAAATATTAATGCAAACTGTGGTACAGGGAACTCGGCAAAAGTTCATCTCTAGAAAAGCAAGAAAACTATTTAGGGCAGAGTAAAGAAAAGCAAAAACATTGCTATGGTCATATTGCACTTTATATTAGTTGCATTTTTAGCATTAACCTTTTTCATCTCAGATTGTTGTTTAGTTATTATGTAAGACAGAATTCACACATCCTGTTACTACTGCAAGGCTAAAGCACTAAAAGCCACTTTTCCCATCTTGGCGTTTAGATATCAGAGGACCACAAGCACAGAACTACATTTCTCATGAACTGTGATAGAGAGGGCAGGTTAGTGCAGTGGCCTCTTGTGAGTGCATATTACTACAGAACAGCACATGCTACTGCCTTCCCCACAGGAATGTAGTTTTGTTATCTGCAACTGCGCTTTCTCTGTCAGCAGTGTGGATTAGGAATGAGGGAGCCTACCCTGCTCACACAACACAACCTTTGTAATACTGCAGTTCCTAAAATGAACCCTTCCAGCTGTAACAATTCACTAGGGCTCACCTTCTCTTCAGCCTTCACTTTTCAGCAGTGAGCTCTGCTGTACTGCCATCATCACTCATTTCGTTATTAATTATTGCTCGCTGCATTCTCTTCAAAGAAGAACCTACTGCCAGAAGCTTGATGATCCTTCCAGTGGATGTCTGGGTGGCACAGGGTGCTGGGGGGAACTCACCCTGTGTGTCTGTGTTGCCACAGGTCCTCAGCTGAGTAATAATTAGCATTGGCTCTATGATTGTAGAAGGTTGATCAATTGTTTTATTCTATCATTTTATGCTATATTATTATGCTATACTCATTAAGAAACTCAGTAACCCTTACTGCTACTCTGATACAGCCTTGATATAATTGGTTAATCCATCTAAACACTATCTAGTGTCTAATTAAGAAATCACCCTTTAGTAAACAAATCTCCATGACACATTCCACATGCACACAACAGCAGGTGCAGCAAGTGGAGATAAGAATTGTTTCTCATTCTTTTCTCTGATTTTCTCACAGCCTTCCCCGGGAAAATGCCTGGGAAAGTCTGTGCCTGCTCCCTGTGGCCAGGGAGCTGCTGCCCCATGTCTGTGCCTTTCAGGAGTGGTTCACCGTGATCGAGCACTACCACCGCACCAGTGCCACCATCAACGAGCTGGTCATAGGCAACGAGTACTACTTCAGGGTCTTTGCTGAGAACATGTGCGGCCTCAGCGAGGATGCAACCATGACCAAAGAGAGTGCTCTGATTGCAAAGGATGGTTAGTTAATTACCCATGCCTCGTCAAGGGGGAGGGGGGTGCTCAGAGGCTGGAAGGTGACTGGAGGTAAAGGCTGTATCTCTAAAGCATCCAGAGGCACTCCCGGCCCCAAGCTGAGGTCCAACAGCAAGGGCATTTCCTATTCAGATGTCTTGGTTTGTCCACATAGCTCACAGTCACTGCTTTTAATCAGGACTAGGACATTTCTCCCATGATCTGACATTTTCTATGGTCTTGGATCTCGGACTCAGGTTACCACTGGCACATATGCATTGACAAGAGCTGGAGAGGAGTAAAGCAGCTGCTCTGTTAGAAGCAGTGGGTCACTGCCCTCCTCTGGAGACTTGGCATCAGCTGTGCAGGCACTCCCTCCACTTCAGGCAGGATGCAACAGAAAAACATACCCCCTGCTTCACATCTCTTGAGGGTGGGGTTGGGCAAATTCTGATTTCTGCAGTCAAAAATCCTGACATTTCAGATGATGTCAGCTGGAAATGGTACTGTAAAATTAAACCCACAAAACCTTTCTATGGAAAGGGAATTCTAAAAACAAATAGCTTACAGGAAGAAAATCAAAACAGTTTGCCTGAAAGGAAGGAATACATGATGCAGAGGACAGACAACCTGTAGAGCCCACACAGCCAGATTGAAAGACTCTGGAGTCATGAACAAGAAAATGGCTCTAGGAATTCTTTTTCAGCACTGCTTACTTGCCCTTCTCATGAGAGCAAGTATCAGGCCTAAGCTGCACTGAAGTTAGTATTAGAGCTTGGATCAGCTTTAAGTGAACAAAGCTGTGTAATGATACCTGTGCACAGGAATAGATGTCTGTCTGTCCAGCCACCTTAAATGCCAGATGAATGTGTGGCTGAAGAGGATTTGTTGGTGGTAATCTCCATTGCAGAGTGAAGATAAACTGGCAGTGAGAAAATACATTTTACTACCATGTTTTTCTTATTCAGAAACTGCATCCATTTAGGTATCTGTATTGTCAGTGCACTGTTTAAAGCAGAATGAAAAATAGATTTTCAGGTACGGGGACCGTTTATAATCAGAACAAACTGAAAAAATAATTGGCAGAGTGAATAAGACTTGCCAAAGACAGGCATCCTACAGTACATGGGTTAGGATCCTGCTGTTTAGCAGGGCATACAGACACAGAATGAACATGATTTGTGTGCCACCCGCACGGGAAACAAAGAGAAGCTCGCAGACATCAATGCCACAGTGTGACCGAGTGATTGTGCAGACCCACCTCCAGCCTCCCCTGCAAGTGCAGCTACTGGAGTCACGTTGGTACCTAAAGCAGTGCAGATCAGAACTGACTCTCTGTAGCCATTTAATGCACTTGGGTGTTTAGCTACCTGCCAATGCTCTTTTTATAAATGTTTCGTTTTCCCTTTGTAGGTAAAGTCTACAAATACCCAGTTTACGACGACTTTGACTTCAGCGAGCGGCCGCTGTTCACTCAGCCCCTGGTGAACACATTTGCTGTTGCTGGTTACAATGCCACCCTGAACTGCAGCGTCCGGGGCAACCCCAAGGTACAGCACAGCTCTGACAGCAGCGCTTAAAACACCAGAGTTTAACCTGGCAATGAAAATTACATGCCACTTTTACCATTTAACTCATGAGCCAGGCTGAAGGCTAACAGACAGGTGTGGGTTCTAAAGAATACAAAAATAAAGGAGCTGCTTACCTGTGCTACAGGCACTACAATAGTAAATGCACAGGTAACACAGTGAAGGGGCAGAACCTCAGGAAAAGGCTGGGCTTTGCTGGAACTCTCACTGACAGCAGCTGTACAGTTAATATATCAGTTAAAATTGTTAATAAAATAAACCCATAATTATTTTACAAAGAGCTAATTATTCTCTAAGTAAGCACCCTGCAGGAATGCTCTGGGTGCCACGCTGTTTCTCAGACCCACTGCACGATGCATCTTGCACTTTCTTTTGACTTGTATCTTTTTGAGTTCTTTTTTCTGGTGTGAGAAACTGAACTGGCCTGGTAAAATGAGAAATCTGGAGTGCTGTTCACTCTTCACCTTCACAGTTTCTGATTGCACAAATTACCGTGGAAAAATATGTTTTTCCTATTGTCTTAGAGTAATTGGATGTCAAAAGCTAATCGTCAGCTGTTTGGTATAATTACACAGTTCTTGTACTGATAATAGGCTTGTACTTATGACTTTAATTAGGTGATAAGGTCTGCACTGAAAAAAAAGTGCTAAAAATCAGATGTATGATGCAGACAATGCTTATCTTTAAGATTTACATTTTCCTTTCTATCACTACTTCATCTATTTTATCATTTCTGGATTACTCAGCTTTAACTGAACACAAAATAGGGGATAAAATATTTCAGTTCAGATTTGTGCATTTGGACTTTCTTTTTTTGTTGTTGTTGTTTGGTTGTTGCTTCTTTGGTTTGTTGTGGGTTTTGTTGTTGTTTTTTATTTTTTTTACCACAGCCCAAAATAACGTGGATGAAAAACAAAGTGCTCATAATGAATGACCCAAGGTACCGGATGTTCAGCAACCAAGGTGTCTGTACCTTGGAGATCCGCAAACCCAGCCCCTACGATGGAGGCACTTACACCTGCCGAGCAGTCAATGAGCTGGGAGAGGCAGAAGTGGACTGCAAACTGGAAGTAAGAGGTAAGGGCTTTAAAGCATTGCGAACACCCTCTTTGCCTGAGCAGTGTCTACAGAGATGAAAGGATGCAAGGCAAGTGCAAAAGGGAGTTCAGCTTTCCTGGATTAAATCAATAGCTCTGTTAGGACAAAATAATACTGGTTGCTTTCTTTTGTTTTGTTTCCATTAATAGAAAAATTTTATAAATTTCAAGTAGTTTAGAATTAACTGGGATACCATGAATGGCTGGATAGGATGACTAATGAATAATCTCAGGACCATATTTTTCAGAAAATTACTTCCTAGGAGAAGATCTGGTCATCTTTATCTGGATTAATTCCCACCAAAGTCTTTGTTTCAACTGTGGAATAAACTAAGTGTTTCTCAAAAAATTATTCTGAGGTTATAAGTAAGGAAAGCTGCCTAAAGCCAGCTGATAGCAAGTGTCTAACTAAGGAATTCGGAGGGAATTTAGGTGACATCAATATGGCTTTAATTACATTACCTCCATCGTGCTAGTCTATATTTTCATTATAGAATGAAAACCACATTTAAAATTTTTATGGATTCCATTGTGTTTATTTTGCATTTCAGTTTCCATTTTCTGTATTTTCTGATGTATCTTGTCCCACAGCTCAGATTTGCCAGCAGGAAGACATTTCAATAAATGTTTGGTCTATGTTAAGTTGAACACTTAAATAATGTAATGTAATTAAAATATGAATAATGTATTTTTTAGATTTAGTTTTAAGACTCTGTCTTTAAAAGGTGATGTCCTCATCCTGGAAGTAAAATTCCTTTCTTTAATCACAATCAAACTTTCTTTTTCACAGCATAACAGAAAACTTCACCTGAGAAGGTTGCTTTGTCTATGTTTTTATACTGAAAAGCCAAGTTATGTTGCTAAGTGAACACAGCAGCTGAAGCTTAGCAAACCAGGACAGGCTCAGTGTTTGCTCTAGGCAAATATAGCAAATTACTCTTAAACAGTCAGAGTACAAAGACATCATTACATCTTCTTTCTCTCTTCTATTGACTTACATGTTGATTTATTATCCTCTTAAGTTTCCCAGCCTGTTTGTTCATTTAGGAGGGCTCCCCAGATGACTGCTCACCATGCTGATGCAGAGCAGAGACCTGCGGATTTCTGACTCACTGGAAATGAATTGTGTGTGCGTGTGTGTGTGTGTGTATGTGTATGTGTTTGCTTTCATATGTACAGCTTTAAACTGGTTCAGCTTTATTCCAGCAAGTCACACTACCAAACTCTGTATTTGTAAGATGATGAGATAGAATTGAATGTTGTCTGAATAAGAATAACAAGCTCAAGGCTCTGCTGCCTATCTGGTGAGCATACAAGCGATGGTGCTATTACTACAGATAGTAGGTTTGACTTACTAGTAAGTCATGCTAGAGAGCTCTATGCCATGCAAGAGTATTTATTGTAGCAAGCTATGTTCCCTTGTGCTGGCTAGAATTACTTTTAGCCATCCATCTCTGACATATCAGAGAACATAAATTTACCATGCTTATATAAATGCTCAGCCCCAAAAGTATCTGAGCAGCCTAGAATTTCAGAGTGTGAATAATATTGGAATATTCTGGCTATGAATATTATCAGTATGCTACAATTTTCTACATTTTAGCCATTTTCTTACACTATTTTGGTGTAAAATTAACCCCCCCCTAGTTGTTGGTAAATGTAATGCTCATTCCCTGAAAATGTTTTAGTGATACATGTAAGCACAATTAAAAGAATAAAAACTTATTCTGTCCTCATAAGAGGTTTTTCATGTGCTGATGTTATTTCAGAAATACAATCTTTTGTTCTTTGGTTTTAAGTTTTGCTGAGTGAATTTAAAGATGGAAGTTACGTGACCTACTCAGTACAATTACACATTTAGTGGCTTTGTTTTGTAAGTGTGTTTGTGTAAAAAGTCATGTAATAGATGACTCTTTCTCATCTATCTTGAAAGATAATGACATATGCAGAATCTCATTACAAAAAATACTGTATGTATATTTTGAGTTTGTTGAAGTAGATCCCTAAATTTGCCTCTAAAATATCCCATTACAAGCACTAAAAAACAGATTCCTTATCAGATTCACTGAGGGCAATGAAAAGAATCAGATAAAGTGCTGTTCCTCTTATATAATGGAAAAAGCAGCTTTGGAGAACCTTTATCTTAGAAGTGAAATAAAGGTTGGTGATCACTCTAATAATAGGTTGGTGATAGCAAAGTTGCTGTATAAGAAATTTTATTTTTAAAAGGTGCTAAGATCAACTGGGAAAATTTTCAAATGCAAATAAATACCACTATAAATATTCTAATTCTGCAGTGATCTATCATGGAGTAATTAACCCAGGAGAACCACTCAGCTTGGCGGGGGATAATCAGGTTTATAATGCGCGTACTCCTCTGGACATTCCATTTCATTCCCACCCTCTCTTCCCACATGCAAACACACTTTCTGCATGCAAAGTGTGTATTTCTTTGCTTTTTTTAGATTAAACTAGCTGGAGTCTCATGGCATACATTGTCTATGTCACATGAGAAAAGAAGGCCAAATTAATCAAGAAAATATCCCATCATATGGGTATTTAATATCAGAATTACCAAGATTTTAGACAAATTTCATAAAAGTAGATGTATCAATAAAGAATTTATTTAATTACTGTGAATATATGAGACCACAACACTTAGATCTTTCCAGGAAAAATATTCATTTCAAATAACCCAGTTCTCATTTAGTTTGTAGAATTACTGAAAGACCAGCCGTATCATAAAGTCATTTGCTGCACTTAAAAGGTATTCTTTATAGCAGATTACTCTTTGGTTACAAATTAGTGCTCAGAATGATTATCCAAGCTTGAACTTAATCAACCAATTTTAAGGATGAAATCTTGATTCAATTACTTACAAGAAGAAAATTTTGCTTCATTTACTTCATTTCTTCTAGAGCTTATTTTATTCAAGTTCATTTGGACTCAGAAAATTTGAGTCCTTCTATAGAAATGTTTTTTTCCTTGCAATCTTGCCCAGGTTCAGAATATTAATAGTGCAGTTTTTAAATGACAGATGCCCAGAACTGGTCTGCATTTTATTATGCATCCAGACTTATGATTTCAGTCCTAAAACATGTTATGAAACCAGACTGTATAATGTTTCTGCAGCTTTTTGAACTATTGAGGTATTTTTCTTAAGAGGCTACAAATAGGTAAAAAGTTCAGTGCTTTTATAGACATACACATAGATAAGTGTATATAAATGGGTGTTTTATAGAGTCAAAATGTTTAATTAAAGGTAAGGGCTCCTACAGAGTAAACAGCATGCTTTAGTAATGTAAATATGGATATATGACCAAGTACATACTATAGTGCACAGGTATATAATTAGTCTGTACTTGATTATTTTGCCTTACAGAGTTTCAGCATATATATATATATATATTCTTTAGTGTTATGTGTGTGCCTTTTTTTCTTCCCCCAGTGGAAAATACTCTATATATATATATATATATATATATACATGTGTGTGTGCGTGTGCGTGTGTGTGTAGCTTCTTTGAAGTTACATTTGGAAACTTTTATCATCAATAGAATTTGGTTCCAATCTATACTTGAGACTAATTAGAAGTTTTTATAGTTACTTGTACCTATTAATCTAGCTTTTACATATTAATGATAATTTTGAAGTGGAACTGGATCCCTACCTTTTACTCTTCATGTGCTTCTATTCCCACATATTTTACATGACTAAGGATTAAATTATCACTTTGACATAATTGTAATAATAATTTCACTCAACATTTTCTCTCCACTTTTGTGTTTGCAATTAAATTGTTACTTCTCTTTCTCTCTCTCCCTTAGTTACACAGTAAGGAATTTTGAATGTATATTGTCATCTAAGGTAAGCTTTCATATGGTTCTTGCATATGAAGCTTATGTCTGTTTATAGTCATACAATGTCTGCCTAGTATGGCATGATTTTCATTATGTCACTTAATGAAAATGTCTTTATAAGTTAGCAGCATGATGGTTTTAAGGCACACAAATTCAGATTTTAGTAATTGCTTGTTTCAGTAATTCTTAGTAGTACATCCCATATCTTCTAATGGTGCATGTTTGAATGGAATTTAACAGTGCATGACTTAGCATGATTAACAAGCACAAATAAAATGCAAGTAATAAAAAGAGCATTATGTATTTACAGCATTATTTTTTGTAGGAATATGCCTCTACATAAACAAAATATTTATTGCAGCGTTAACTTCTTTTAAAAAGAAATGATTCGTAGCACAACTTGCACTCCATGAGCTGAAAGAATTGCCAGAAAGCTGAAAGAATGCCAAAAAGCATGCCTTTTTTTTTTATTTTTCGTCTGTTTTGTGCATCTTCCTAAGGTTGGGGGCGAACACTTCTCCCGCAATGATGACATTAAATGAGAAAGCAGTCTCATAATCACTAGTAACTAATAGCATTTTAATTGAATAATCCTTGTGTTAATAAAGATTATAAGTTCTTAAAAATCTGTACTTGGCATAAATATTGTATGTAAGTATCAGCTCAATTGCATTTAGCTGAAGCATTCAGACAGTATTATCTTTACCCTGGCAATGTACTTTTGCTTTAAAGCTTTTGGTGTGTCCCAGAAAAAGCTCAGAAGGTAAGTACAGCTATCAGTGGATGGTTTGCAACTTGCAGAACACAATATTCATGCAGATTTGTAAAGGGAACAGTAATGGTATATAGCTTTCTTAAAGCAATTTATACCCTTTGTCTGGAGAAAGGGCAGATTCTAAAGTTTTTAGCAAAATATTTATCTTCTTTCCAAACATCATCTGCTTTCAATGAAACTAACAGAAATACTGGTGCTGAATTTCCATGGCTTTTATATCAGTGGCACCGGGCATCCAAAACCACTATGGGCAACACGTGCCAGGATCCCACCACTTTCACAGTGAAGAATGTCTTCTTTGTATCTAACCTACACCCACCCTTTTCCAGTCTGAAGCCAGCATCCCTTGTCTTATCACAACAGGCCCTTGTAAAAAGTCCCTCTCCAGCTCCCTTGTAAGCTCCCTTTCGGTACTGGAAGGTGCTCTGAAGTCTCCCTGCAGCCTTTCCTTCCCCAGGCTGAACAGCCCCAACAAGAAGTGAAATTTTGAAGTGAATTTAAAAGCAAATCTAGAATGATTCCTCAGATTTCCCCAGCAGATGAAAATTTCAGCTTTCATCATCTCTCTCTCTGGAAACTATATCTGAAATCCTGGCTTTTTAAATGTGATTCTTTCAAGGATGTCATCCCACTTGTAATTTTCAAGCAACATGGTAAATATTTTGCTAAATACCTAGAGACCATTTTAAGACCCAAAACTAGAACAAATTTAATATCTCTGCATGTTTTCCACAACTCATCCTGGTCAGTGTTTTCTATATTGTTCCCCCTGCACTGACTTCCATCTTTGACCATGCTCTACCCAGCACGATGGAAAGCCAGGAGAGTTATTTGAAGTGAAGTTTATCATAAGCTGTTGCATGTGGTGAGATAAATGACTGAATATATGATACCCGAGAAGTGAAATTCACCCTGCACAAGAGGACAGGAAAGGTCTGTATACCAATTAAATAATGGGTAGATGTCATACTGGACTTTTGAGCAGGGCTGAATTTTACCACATCTCAATGTAACAGGGACTGACTAAAACTTGTCACTTATGCCAGAGAATAAAGGTACAAAGCTGTTGCTCCAGGGACCTTCAACCTGAAGATTACCTGTTTTCCTTGTTTGTAGGTGGGCTTTCATTCTTCAAGCTATTAATGGATGGAGTGCCTCCGCATATCATTGACTCATATATGCGTGAAGTGCAGGCAGACAAAACTGAAGGGAAGTGAGAGTCCGTCCACAGTGCTTCCTCCCACTGCACTGGAAGCTGGTAGCAGAATAACTGCATTTTAGTTTTTGCAACAACAGAAAAACATGTGCGGTGGGGGATTTTATGACTTTTTTTTTTCCTTAATTGTCCTTTTGTTTTCCCTACCTGCTCTTACTGAAAAGAAAGAATACGCATGGATTGCTTTGAGATTGAAATGAAATGAACTGAAGACAACACACGTTTTGTAATGTTCAGCTTTATTTTCTGTTTGATATCGTGTTCTGTTTTTTAATGAGGAAAGAGGGGAAGCTGTGTAACAAACATAAGGAGGCAGTCAGTCTGTACTCAATGGTACAAAGCAGATCTTTCTCAGACTGGAAGTACATGGATTAGCCAGTAGATGTGCAATAAGATCCTTGGAATACATACCTCTAATAATGTATCTTATTCAGCTGAGAATTCTTTAACAGAATATGGTTTTACTATAATGTAACTAATGCATATGTAATTAATGATCATTTAAGCTGAACATATCTTCCTATAGAAGTTTTGATTTCCTAAATCCAACCCATCAGTCTCTCAACTTAAGTGAAATTGTTTTATTTAATGTACAATAAACATGAAGTGTTTAAGATCGATTAAGTTCTTGTTTACTTTTTTCTGTATCATTTTACCACATTTCTTGTTTTATTTCCACTTACAATAAAGCAGGAACTTGTGCCCACCATGTGAAGTGGAAAGCAGTATCAGCAGTCACCTAACCCAGTGTGCTTACACCTTAAGATACATGACACAGAATGTGAGTGGAGATAAATACTACCAACACATACAACTTTTTATCTGTGCATTTTTCACTATTTTAAATGTGATAAATGCCAGCCATGATGGCTTTCACCATTCTGGATCCACTCCCTTTCCCCAGTAATTCATGGAGCTCTTGTAGCTATCACATCAGAAAAAGGTTTTAGACATAGCACTGGTGAGTTCACCATGCATGGCAAAAGTGCCTGAGATAAGGTGGAATGGCTACATTTCTTCTCCAGCTGCAGCATCATTAACCTCCAAGTTCTTTAGGAGAGGGGGTGATTGTCCTGGAGTCTCCAGCAAACCCTGAAACATGTGAGACACAAGGTCACACATATTTTGGCCAGGTTGTCAGTTCCCTATTGCCCTGGCATTTATTTACCAGTTCTCACTCTGGCTGTACAAATAGGGCAGGTTATGTGCTCACTGGCTAATGACTGATCTCCAATTAAGGTTTATAAAGATAAAGGCCTACTTAGACCAGAAGTACATCACAAGATGTTTATTTGATGTCAGTGCATTTTTCAAACATTCAGCAATTGGTAAATATGCAACAATAGAAGAATGTGTTACTCTGAACCGCCACACCTGAAGTGGTGTTTTTGCAATTGTGCTCCCACTTCTTTTGCTTTGGGGATCTGAGTGCATTTTCTCACATTGTTCTGTAAATCTTACTCTGAGAGATGATAGATAGATAGATAGATAGATAGATAGATAGATAGATAGATACTCTGAGAGATGATAGATAGATAGATAGATAGATAGATAGATAGATAGATAGATAGACAGACAGATTCTTTTTCTTTTCTCCCTTCTTGTTTCTTTGTGATTTCTTCTGCAGGGAAGCAATTCTGCATTCCCAGTGATCCTGGACACCCCTCCACACCCCACCTGCATTTCACTCTGCTCCTGCCCAAATCAATCCTATTCTATACATTCATTCACACCTATACGTTAAAGAAAGCAACACATCTACTAGAAAAGAATTTAATACAGGATTAATAATTTCTGTTTATTCTGTATCTCACCAGTGAATTGAGACTCCTTCCATCTATTTTGAAGCACAGAAAGCTGCAGGAGAGGTCAGTTTGATTAAATGCCATAGAGGTATAAGCATTTAAGTACATGACCCTCATTTAAAGTAGTATCAATCTGCTATAGTCAGCACCAAAAGCTACAGTTATTGTGAGTTTGTGTTTGCCAGTAAGCCCAAAAATGAAGCACACAGCCATCTGCACTTTGTATGCATAATGTGTACAGCTTCAAGGTTACATTTATCTGCCTCCTCAGTCTTAATACATAACACATAATAACCTGGAAGCCAGCACAACCTCAGCTTCTGCGGGCTCTCTGCGGATGGAATTAGCTACTCTAATTTCTCCCGGCTGCCAGCGTTGTTAAACAACAAGCTGAACTAAGCTCCTTTTCCCTGTGAGAACAGTAAGCGTTGTACTCGGCTGCCCTCAATTCCTCCCCCCTTGCGTCGCCCAGCATTTGTCATTGGCTGTCCCTCGGGCTGGGGACGCACCAGGCTGAGAGGAACAGGCATTAACCTGCTCTAAATCCAGACTACACCGAGCAGCCACCACTCTGGATTAAGCGTTAACCGACTTTCAGAGAAATGATTCGATGGCATTGGACAGGACAGAGATTTCTAGTGATTTAAAACAGGCTGCAGCACCTCATCTGGAGAATAACAGAACGTGAAGTTTTGGTTTATGACAATTTGCCCTATGGGATTCTCCAGAAATGATGTTTAGTGGATGTAATAGTGACCAAATCCAAAGAGTTAGGAAAATGCTAACAAAATCTGCAGTTAATATCAGCTTAGGAAAATAAAGAGGCATTGAGGACAGCAACTACAGGAGAAGCAACTTAGAGGGAACAGAAGCAACAGAATATCATGCTGTAGAAGATGTGACATAATGCTCCAAAGAAATTTCTCCAAAGCTACAGGGACCAGGTAATTAGTGAACCTGAAAGAGACCTAGGAGTAACCTAGGAGGACAGCAAATACATGTAAACACACGTACACAGACACACAAATATGAATCAAAGTTAATTTTAAAAATTTTTACTTATTTTTAATGATGCCAGAAGAAAATATTTGGTCTTCTCTTGGCTTTCATTTGCTTTCTTTGCCCGTGGAAGGTTATTTGGCATATAAATGTAGAAATACAGCTCCATTCTCAAACTGGTATATGTGGATCTTGTTATGGGCACTGCAGTTACCATTTGCATTGAAATAGCACAGCTACTGCCAGCACACTTATCCCTTACTGAAAACAATCTCACAAATATAAAGGAGAGGAAGAAAAAAGAGGCAAGTGATCTTTAAAAGATTACTTAAATTGGGATATACTGTTAATAAGGTCTTTATGGAGAGTCAGAAATTTTTAAAAATATTCCTTTTATAAGAAATAGTTCAAGCTTCCTGAACTTCCTTTTAGGTGGAAAAAGAAAAAAATGTAATATTGGTACCTTTTACAGAGCATTGTGAAGGGCTCTTACTTTATGAAAATCTTCTGTTGCATTTTGAGATTCTGGAGCAAAAGGCATTCTATTTTAAGCACAGTGTACTTACTGCCACTTGACTTTCATGTCCTGGTTTCCTGACTGACAGGTAAAGCTGCTGCTTTGGAAGCAAAACTATCTTGAATGCTGAGGAAGCACTAGAAGACTAAACACACTGGACTTAAAATTCTGTGTTCCCTTATTCTATGCTTTGTTGATGAATACTTTTGAAATTAAAACAAACCCCAAGTCCAGTGATAAATTCAGTAGGGAAGCTGTTTATTCCTTTAATGTGGCACTTGCTTTTTATGCCAATTACTTTCCCCTCCACTTCTTTCCTTAGTTTCTCTTCTTTTCCTCCACGTTTCCAAAGAGCAATCTCTCCATAAATACCAGTTCTATTATGCTCATTGACCACAGTGATGCACAGGATATTAAACAAAACAGAGTCTGACCTTCTTCCAAATGTAGCTATTCCAGTGGACTGGGAATCTGACTGATTGAGAATCTGTCAGATTTCCCTTCTGCCATTCTCCAGCTGGCTGTAACTGGACCTTTCTTTACTATATGTTACCTTCTGTTCTGCTAGCAGGTCCTATGCCCTCTGCTTTGGCCTCTGATGACAATTGCTGCATCATACTGTTTTCAGTGAACTGTAAATTAAATCAGCCGATGAATGACGTAGCACATAGCACATAGTGGGATTCAGAAACCACCATTTAACATGTGTCAAGCATTCCTGACTCTTGCAGTAGAGAAACCTACTCAAACACATAATAACTTTATCAGTTTAAGTGAATCAGCTCACTTTGAATAACAGGAAGCGGCTCTGTCCAGGAAATTGCAGCATCTGGACAGAAAGCTGCACCCTCTGGCTCACAGTGAAGTAACTTAAAAAGAGAATTTCTGATACTGAGAAGATGCCACTGCAGGTTGTATTTTTCACTTTCTACTACAGCTGCACAGCTTTTCTTTCCTTGGCCTCATTCAGAAGCCACACATCTTCCTGGAGACTCGGGGATACATCTAAAATCCTTCACAAGACCAATTCAAATAGTTTGATGTGCCACAATTTCTCAAAAGGCACATTTTATTTGAAGCACCCTAAGCAAGTCAACGATGTAGAGCAAGTCGTGTGTAACAGCGTGTGCAACTGCTCCAGATCATGTTAGGACCAGAACTCCCCAAGCAGTGAGTCCCGCCCGGGAGGTGGAAGGACCCTTGGGTGATGCAGTGGGGTCACCTTCCCGCAGGCACGGCTGCCCTGCTCTGCTGGCAGCGGGCAGGTCAACTGCTGCTCAAACCCTGCCTTTATGTTTTGCTCCAGCAAAAATCCTTCTGGCCACCTGCTGTCTGCACCTCCGCTGTGGCCACTATGTGCACGATAAAACTTGTGAAAGGGGAGTAAGCGGAACGAGGCAAGGCGCGGGTGAGGGCGGCACTCGTTCACCCCGCCGAGATGAGAGGGGCGCGCACGGCCGCCTCTCCCCGGGGCAGCACCGACCCCGGCACCCGCAGCGGGACGGGCCCCGCCAGCCGCACCCCCCCCCCCGACCGAGCGCTTCCCCGCCGCCCGGGCATCCCCAGCCCCGCAGGGCGAGGCGGGGCCGGCGGAGCCGTGCTCGCTCCGGGGCTGGGGCCGGGAGAGCGCCGCGCACTCGGGGCGATGGAGCCAAAGCCGAGCCGGGGGCGAGGGCGTTCGCCGCGCGTTGCCGAGGCGGGGGCGGCCGTTCCCCTCGGCCAAGCCGCTGTTGGGCGTCGGCCTCTTCCGCCGCTGCCCCCGGCTCGGCTCAGCCCCGCCCCGAGCGGCGGCGGCGGCTCCCTGACCCCGGTGCCATGCGCCCCGGTGGTGCGGGCATGGCCGTGTCCTGGGCGCTGCCCGCGCCCCTCAGCCCGGCGCAGCTGAAGCGGCTGGAGCAGCACCGCTACAGCGCGGCCGGGCGCTCGCTGCTGGAGCCGTGGCTGCAGCCCTACTGGGGCTGGCTGGTGGAGCAGGTCCCGCGGGGGCTGGCGCCCAACGCCATCACCATGGGCGGCCTCCTGCTGAACTGCCTGACGGCGCTGCCGCTCATCGCCTGCTGCCCCAGCGCCACCGAGCAGGTACCGCCCGACGCGGCTGCAGCCGGGCCGGGGGCCGCGGCTCGGCCGGCCGTGCCCGGAGCCGGGGCCGTGCCCGGAGCCGGGGCCGTGCCCGGAGCCGGGGCCGTGCCCGGAGCCGGGGCCGTGCCCGGAGCCGGGGCCGTGCCCTGTCACTTGGGGCTCCCCGCAGCCACACGCGTGGCCCGCCCCTCGGCACGCAGGGCTGAGGCAGCGCTGCGGG